CTCCTGACGAGCTCCTATCCATCCCTCAGGACCCGGTTCTCATGCCCCTGCTTTCCCAGTGGCCCGGATGCCTTGTCCCCACTGGTCCTATGAGGCCTCTTAGTGTCCCCTGCAGGGTGACAGTCCCGACCTCTGCACCCCGAAGTCACTGAGAGTGGACGGCAGGCGAGCTCCCGTGGGGAGGCGAGGTCCTTCTGTCCAGACTTCAAGTCTGCCTGTCCGGCCAGACTTGAAGGCAGGCCCAGCACATTCTTTTGGGACCTCCCTGCTCCCAAGGCACCTCGGGCCTGGGTGAGAGTTCCTGCCCATCACGGGGGTTTGGCCCAGCCCATCTCGGCCTGGTCAGCACTGCTTGGAGGACCGGTGGGCCCGTGGCTTCATGTCCAGCCCCTGGCGGCGTGGACGTGACCGAGCCCATCCCGGGACAGGAGTGGAACATTAGGGGCCAATCTAAACAGTAGCGCTGCAGCAAAGGTTCCTCATTTAGTCCCGTCAGTAACTCTGGCTCCCGAGAGGTCACTTGAAAATACAGGGACATCAGAGTCGCTGTTGGCGACACACCCCTTCCCACCCCGGTCACCAACCGGACCCCCTTGGCAGTCACAGATGGGGCAGGACGCAGACCCTGCGTTCCCAGCAGAGGTCCTCCACTCCATCCTTGTCCTAAAACGGGAGCAGCGTCCAGCACCTCTGGGGGCCTGTCCCCTCCACGGGGGCAGCCTGTCCTGCTTCATCGAGGGCCTGGTTGGCCTGGGCCTGCTCTACCACGCGTCAGCACATGTCCTGGGGCAGCGACTGGATGTCCCCCGGCCCCCGTATCTCCGCTGAGGTATGGGGTCTCCTGGGGCACAGGTCTGGCCATCCCGCCGCCCTGGCAGGGGCACTCTCTGCGGCACTGAGACCCCCTTCCCCACTCTCGGCCGTGACCTCCCTCCAGGCCGATCCCCTGCGCCCCGAGAGCACGTGTGCTGCCCCAGGACACACAGTGAGTTCACATCTGCCACGCGGCCATGCTATCTACCGTCGTCTCACGAACACTCTTCCCCCAGCTGTGGGCCTGGGGGTCAGGGGGCAGAGACAGGGACACGTCACCCCCTCGTCCTCCCGGCCTGGGGCAGAGATGGTGGCCGCTCACTCGGGGTGCGGAGGGGCACACACCGCGCACTCTGTCCTTCCAGCTGCGGCTCCTCCCGCGTCCCCGTGGAGCCGCGAAGGCCAGGAGGACACAGCGGCTTCCGAGCCACCCCTCCCCCAGTGCCAAGTGGGGCTGCACGCAGCAGGCGCTCCGTAAGTGCCTCGCCTCGCCTCGGAAGAGACGGGAAGGAGGAGAGGCTGTCGTCCCCCGTCTCTACAGGCCGTTGGCGGGAGCTGGCGGGCGGCTCTCACGCTGACTGCAGGCCCGGCTTGCCCATCCCTCATCCGTAGCCGTCCCCCCAGCAAAGCACAAATGCACATCGGTCGACTGCGCTGAACATTTTAGTGGCCAGGGAGCTACCGGCTGAAGCTTGCCAACGCGTCAGAGCCTGACAACCTGAACCTCTGTGTTTCCTGGAAATAAACCTGGATAAAGGCTGGTGGGCGTCCTCTGGGCCGGGGCCCACGGTCCCGCTCCTTCCCGCCTGGCCCTGGTCATGGTGGACAGAGGGCCATCCATCCAACCGGGCTGCCTGAGGCCCTGGGGGTTGGGTGCTATTTCAGGACCTGGGATTTAAATAGCAGAGTGTTCTGCGGACACCTACTGCTGGGTGTGCGTGTCTGTGTGTGTGTCTATTTGTGTCTGTGTGTGTGTCTGTGCATGTCTGTGTGTCTGTGTCTGTGTCTCTGTGTGTCTCTATTTGTGTCTCTCTGTGTGTATGTGTGTGTCTGTGCATGTCTGTGTGTCTGTGTGTGTGTGTCTCTGTGTGTGCCTGTGAGTGTGTTTGTGTCTCTGTGGGTGGGTATGTGTGTGTCTATGTGTCTCTGTATGTGTGTGTCTCTGTGTGTCTGTGCATGTCTATGTGTGTCTGTGTGTGTGTCTGTGTCTCTGTGTCTGTGTGTCTGTGCATGTCTGTGTGTGTCTGTGAGTGTGTCTCTGTGTGTGTCTGTGCGTGTCTCTGTGTGTCTGTGCGTGTCTCTGTGTGTCTGTGCGTGTGTCTTTGTCTCTGTGTGTATGTGTGTGTCTATGTGTGTCTGTGTGTCTCTCTATTTGTGTCTCTGTGTCTTTGTGTGTCTGTGCATGTCTGTGTGTGTCTGTGTCTCTGTGTGTGTGTGTCTCTGTGTGTCTATGTGTCTGTGCGTGTCTTTGTGTCTGTGTGTGTCTGTGTGTCTCTGTGTGTCTATGTGTCTCTGTGTGTGTCTGTGTCTCTGTGTGTCTATGTGTCTGTGCGTGTCTTTGTGTCTGTGCGTGTCTGTGTGTCTCTGTGTGTCTGCGTGTAGTGAGAGGGGGAGAAAGCAATGCAGCAAACGGGGCCCAGTACAGTAACAGTGGGTAAAACTGGATGAAGGGTATACGGATTCTTTGAGCTGTTTCGTGAGTTTTGTGTGTTTGAAGTACTTGAAAACAAACGATTAAGATGGGACAGGGATGCAGCAAAGAGAACCTGAAAGCACAGATGGCCCTGGGCCAGTGGGGACACTTGGGACCCTGGGGGGGTGTCTCTGGGTTTCCCCTGGTCCTGTGCCCCCAGGGGGGCTGCAGTTCTGAGAGGGCCCTGTGGTCAGGCTCCAGCTAGCAAGTGTTTCCTCGTTTGCATCCCCGGGGGCCTGGCAGTTGAGGGGAGATGCCCCTGGGGCCAGGCGTGGGCTCTGGCTGGGTGTCAACGGGCACCAGAGCCTGAGCGCCAGCCAGGGGAAGGCACGGCTTAGTGTGTGGCCCCGCGCCGGAGCCACCCTTAGTGACGGGGGCGCGTGGAGCCCCGAAAGCCTCAAGGCTGCCATTTCCCCCACGCTGGTTTTTCCCTGTAACATCAGGGGTGCAGGGGTGCTCGCCTTATATTTCTACTTCTTAACTGGAAATGAGCCAACACGGGAGAGATTTTAACTCAAGTGGTCACGGTGTCCGCGCTCTTACCTAAGAGTTACTCCCACCTTTGGGGTGAATTTCGGTGATGAGGTTTTTAAACCCCGTGTTTGGGTGAAACGTCAAGTTGGGTATTTCCTGCTCCATCACGTGGCATCTGGTCTGTTTTTCCCATCCCGTCTGCTCCGGGTGCTGGGCTCATAGCTCACCGAGGGCTCTGCCTGCGGATTCGGGGCTGTGGTGAAGCCTCGACGGGTCCGGGAGGCCGGCGGGGCGTTCAGGGAGTGCCTTGTCGGACGGCCTCTCCCACCCCTGAACCCACAGCACGGGGCGGTCAAGCGCTGCCGCGGAGCCCCCCGCTAAGGAGGCCCGGGTTCAGGGGCAGACCTGGTGGTGGGGCCGCTGCACCCTCCGAGGGGGCCCTTCTGGTCCTGCCCCGCGATTCAGCCCCGAGTGGCTCCCCCGACCGTGGGGGGCTGGGGGGGACATCATCTGGCTTCCAGACATGAAAACGCTGGGAAATCTAATGCACGATCTCTAAGCAAAGAGTCTGGGGACAGGAATTAATTGAAATCGGCCTGAAGTCTGGAAGCTCGCCACAGGGCAGGGCCGTGCACCTGTCCCTGGGGACGCAAACCCTTCCCGCCGGGCGCTGAGGCGGGGGTGTGGCCACAGGTGCAGGAGGAAAACAGCATGATAGCTCGCGCGCGTCAACAACGGAATTTCAGGCAAGAGTTAAAAATCCCGAGGGGCACACGTGTGACTGCACAGAAAAGTATCCAGAAAGCCGTCAAGTGGAAAATTCCCAAAGCAAATCACAGGTAACGTGTCATTCCTATTTGTGGAGGGAAGTCGTGTGTGTGTGTGTGTGTGTGTGTGTGTGTGTGTGTGTGTAACACAAATGCATGTATGCAAACACCCCCCCTTCCCAGCCGTATGTGTAGAGAACTTTCTGGAAGGACACGAAGGAATCGTGACCAACGATTTCTCTGGCGCCTGGTGATGTGAGTCGGGGTGAGGGTTGGGAGGAACCCTGTTCCCCACATGCCCCGTTTACGGGGTTGAGTTTCTGGAGCCGTGTGCAGGTATCACTTTTCTAATAAAAATGAAATCAGCAAGTGTTAAATTTTAAAACAATTTGAGTAGGTATGGAATTCTCGCCATTACTTTTTATGGTTTTGTTTTTCAACTGTTGCCTTTCTCTGGAATAGGAAAAGGAAATGGGGAGATAGTTCCACTCTTACTTTATGATGCTGGTGAATTTCTATTCATGTGTTTTAATTTAATCAGTCTATAAGGAGACTCACTCCCTGATTCTCAGGATGGGTTTAATTCTCCTACATCGTCACTAAAGGTGGAGACCAAGTGGCCTCCAATCCAGCCACCCCCATTCCTCTGATCACTTCCCTTCCGCGCAGCAGATCGTGAAGGGCCGCTTTTCGGGAAAGCCGGGGACACGGGACAGACTCCACACAGGAAGCCCAGCCTGTCGTGTGTGTCTGGGCAAGTGTCGACTTACCTTAATTGGGTTCTGTTCCTGGAAGACAATTGTCATTAATCTCCCAGCCCCCCTAAACCTATCTGGACCCCGCGTGGTGGAGCGTCCCCCCCTCTGCCTCTTCTGACTGCAAAGCATCTCGAGCAGCAAAGGTTAGTCCAGTTATTGAGAAACACGGCGTGGAGCCCACTGCGTTACCATGTGCAGGATGGCCCAAGGTTTCTGTCCAGCACAGCCGAGAGCCTCCCTTGCCCAAGGAGTGCAAAGTGATGGATTCTGTGGAAAACATGCCCATCCCGTCCCCTCGCCCAGGACGCCGGGAGGTGCCTCGGGGCTGAGCGTCTGCGTGTCCGGCAGGGACGGGCCCGGCTGTGCGCCAAGGCAAGCCTTCAGCACGCGGGGCCAGCGGTCACGAGACGGGCCCAGCCAAGCCGCCAAAGCACGTTACACGTCAATCACCAACCGCTACTTTACTCACACCAGAGACTACTTCAAAGAGATTTGTGTCCAGGGTTACTTTTAACAAGAGCAAGTGTGGAGAAGCCCCGGCCACGGGGAACAGGGCCAGCTCTGTCCTCGTCAGCGAGCCCGGGGCAGGGCGGCACGTGGGAGGATGCGGGCCGCACGAGGCCCCCGTTTCCTGGCTGCATCAGTTAGTCGTTCTGAGAGAGGCTGGCGTTAAATCTAGTGAGATGACACACGTGGGCTGGAGCTTAAACACAGCGCGCGGCCCCGCAGGCGCAGGCGCCGGCCGCTCTTCCAGCTGCTCTGGGCACGCGGCGGCGAGGACGCAGACGCAGCGCCAGGTGCGGCCCCGTGAGGCTGGGGGCCGAGGTGTGCAGGTGTCGGACCGCACGCCTAAGAGCTAGAAAGAGACCATGCTGGGCGCCCTGCAGACAGAGGAGGCCGTCCGAGCAGAGCCATCGTGCTATGGGTGCTATTGGAATCAGTGAGCAGATGCGTTAGTTTTGCGACAGGATAAAATACACCGAGTGTCCCAGAGGCCCTCCGCGGCCTCGCGTTTGGAGGTGGGGCTGCTGCGTCCAGAGGGACGTCAGTGAGGCACTAGGCTTGGCCAGGGCGGGAAGACTATTCTCATAGGACAAACGATGTGTTTTATACAGCAGTTAGGCCTCTGAAATCGGGAGGAAAGTTAAGATGTCACACGAGCTGCGGGGGGCCCCCCGGGGCCCCAGAGGCACCAGCGGGCCGCCAGGGGCTGGGGGCGGGGAAGGGGCTTTACTTCTCCTCCGTGGACAGGCGGTAGAGCTCCTCGCCCAGGCGCCGCAGCTGCTCCTTGAGCTCCAGCTCGCGGTACAGGCCCGCGGGGACGGCGTCCAGGCCGTGCAGCAGCCCAAACAGGCAGCCGGCGATGGCCCCCGTGGCCCCGCTCTCACCTAGAACGAAGCACGGCCCTCAGGGCTGCACGGCGGTCCCTGGCCCCCCTGCCCCCTTGCCCCCTCGCCAGGAGGCCGGGCCACCTCAGCCTCCGCCCTTGGCCTCAGCCAAAGCCCAGGTTTGCTCTGGGAGGTGCCGGGGACGGGGGCGGGGGGTCCCCTCCCCCTCCTGGGACAGCCGCACACCCTGGTGCGCTCGGGTGAGCACCTCCCGCGGGTCCTGCGCACGCGCCGCGCACCACCCCCGCCGCCCCCGCTTCAGGCTCTCAGCCTCCTGCCCACCCCGTCCGCCGGCGGCCCTGACCCGCTGCCCCTTCTCCACTCCCCCGCCCCGGGAGGTGTCGCGTCTCCACACCTGGGCACCCGGAGGTCCCAGCAGTGTAGGTGGGGAGCCCGGGGCCCGGCAGGAGGGCCTGGCTGGTGGCCTCTTACTTCACACTCACGAGAAGGCACATCTCACCTCCGTGGAACATGGCCCGGTGGCAGAGCTCCGTCCAGCTGCCCTTGGCTCCTAAAAGGGCATCGTAGGCAATCATGGGGGCGTCGTGGCCCCGCCGGCCCCCTCGACCTTCCGAGCTCCATTTCCTGTAGGTCTGGAGAAAGCGCCACAGGTCAGAGGCCGCCAGGAACTACGTCCCGTGCACTAGGGCACGAGCTTCTGGGTTCATCTGTGCGCCGACGTGGCGCCCCCGTGTGCCGTGCACAGCCCCAGGGCTGCGGGTGGGCACTGGCTTCCCGTGTGCCTCACTCCAGCCGTGCCACAGATAAGCAAACATGCCAGCTGCCGGGCAGCGACAGCCATCAGGGGGTCTGGAGCGCTGTGATGGGGCTGCTGTGACAGCACAGCTGGGCGCCACTGCGTGATGTGAGGTCTGCGTGGGGCACAGGGATACGCGAGGCCGGGCAGGGGTGCCGCGTGTGGTCAGGGCCGCAGGCCGGCTGGAGGACATGGTTGGGGAGGCCACGGTGGCTTGAGCAGCTGGTGGCTCAGAGCAGGTCCCTGTGGGTCTGTGGCGAAGGCTGACGAGGGGCAGGGGCCAGATTGGGCCGGGGAGGTGGACGCAGGCAGGTCACACCCCTGTGCCTTAGCAGCAGAGTCAGTGTCGGTCTGGGGCAACAGCATCTCCACAGGAAGAAGAATGGTGTTTCTGAGTCTTTCTGCGTCGGGGGGCCCATGAGAGATAAATGAAAGGGTGGTAGGAAGCACCTAAAAAGGGAAGGGTGGACCCTTCCTCTCCCCCTGCTCCTTCCTGACACCTGGAATGCAGATGTGCTGGCTGGAGTGGGAGCAGCCAGTTTGGACTATGAGGCGTGCCCGCAGAACAGCAGAGCAGCCAGACAGAGGATCCTCAGCTCCTCACTGCAAGGGGCTTCTGACTCAGCTCTGATTCCCTTGACGTGAGGATAATGAACTTCTGTCTTGGTTAAACTGCAGTTACAGCGGTTTCTCTTATGCTACCAAACACGATCCTGACAATTTCAGCCACTTGGGGGGGTTTCTCAGCATGGGGAATGCCGGTGGCTTGCACAGACTTATTCATCCCTCTATCCCCAGTCCCTGGAAGAGATGAAGTGAGATGGACTATTTTCACATTTTCAACTTTTCTAGCACAAATCGTGCTTATAATCAGAGAAAATGAAAAGATAAAAGCACCATCCATTTGCAATGGGCTTCCTTCGAAAAGCCTTCCACGGCCCCGCCTGCCAGCTGCTCCCTCAGCCCACCTCCACCGCGGGGTCCCGTACAGCCGGGGGCGGCAGGCGGCGGCCCCGACAGCTCCTGCTCGCCACCCACGTCGCCGGCAGACTTACCTTGTCCCTCTCCTCCGCGCTGTAGCGGTCGGGAAAGCTGGCCTCGTTCTCCGTGTCCTCACTGATTTTTCTCTCCTCCAAGTAAAACTGCCATTTAGCTTCGAAGTAAAACCAGTGCTCCTGGTATTCTAAACACAGAGGCCAGGTGAGCGGGCTGTGGCGGCCGTCCAGCTGGGCGCCGTGGGCAGCGGGCGGGAGGGAGGAGGCAGAGCCCACGCCCTCCGCCTCGGCTAAGGCTCAGGAAATTCGAAAATGCTCACATTGTAGCTACTTTGAAATACCAGCAAGGAAGATGGAGATCGAAACCAGCCCAAAGAATTGCTTGACAATGCGCTGAACTAAGGCAGCGATCGCAGTATTTTTATTTTTAAGTGGCTTCTCTTGAAAATTCTGAACCTGTGTATTTTTCAAAATTAATTTTATTTATTTTTGGCTGTGTTGGGTCTTTGTTGCTGAGTGGGGGCTACTCTTTGTTGTGGTGAGCGTGCTTCTCACTGCGGTGGCTTCTCTTGTTGCAGAGCACGGGCTCTAGGCGCGCGGCCTCAGTAGTTGTGGCTCACGGGCTCTAGAGCGCAGGCTCAGTAGTTGTGGCGCACGGGCTTAGTTGCTCCGCGGCATGTGAAATCTTCCCGGACCGGGGCTCGAACCTGTGTACCCTGCCTTGGCAGGTGGATTCTTAACCACTGTGCCACCAGGGAAGCCCTGAACCTGTGTATTTTTATTAACTCAACACTGTGCCTGCAAAGTCAGGAGAGAGGACGTTCGTTATCCCTAACTAGCAGCTTGACCTCCGAGCCCCAGAGGTGCTGAAGCGACTTTTCTGAAGTTATTTTAGGAGGACGCTGCTGCAAAGTCTGGAGCAGCAGCTGCAACGGCTCGTGGATGACGGGTGTGTGTGTCGGGGGGGTGCCCGCGTCTCGAGAACCCAGAGGGGATCCCCGTGCTCGCCTGACCCTCCGCCCTCTGGCCAGGCAATACTGCAGACCTTCTTTGCAGGGTCAGCCTGTCACACGGCCCCCCCAGTCTGTCCAAGTCTGCTCTGGGTGTGGCTGGAGCCCACCTCCTTCTAAGGTGCCGGGGGAGGGTGTCAGGAGGGAGGCTGGGCTCACCTGCCAGGTGCCGGATGGTCCTTTTACAATACTCCTCGGCCAGCGGGACTGTCCTCAGCATGTCTCGTCCCCACTGCTCCAGCCGTTTGCCCTGAACGGCATACGACGCGAACAGGGCCGTGCACAGGGACCCAAGGAAGCCTGGGGTGGCAGGAGAGAGGGTCAAAGTTGGCACCAGCCACGCCCCCTCCCAGGTGCTGGACACGCTGTGTCCCTGGGCTTTGCCAATTTGACCTTCAGTTACCGTCTGCAAGGGGGCAGAGGCGGGGTGGGGAGAGCACGATCCCCACCTCTAAGCGCTGCTGTGGGCACGGGATCCAAGCCCGGGTGAGCCCCTGCAGAGCTGCCCCACGAGTGGCCACGGGAAGCGGGACCCCAGGGAGGCGTCAGCCGCAACCACTTCTGGGGCAGGGACGAGCGTCTGGTTCTCGCGCCCGGGGTCCAGCTGCCGTCCTGACCACCTGCCACAGCCCACCTCCCGTCATGGGGTGCTTCAGCTCCAGATCTGGGACGCACGCTCCCAGGCAGTAAAGGTAAGAAAAACTGACACTTGCCTCCAAAGGCAGTTCAAAAATTGCAAAGGAGAGCGGAGTTAAAACGTGCTTCCCGGTATTAAGTGTGTGCTGTCCGACCCTAGTCACCAGCCTAGTAATAGATAAATTACCCAGCTCTTAAACATGTGAAACAACATTTCTTTAATAAGAGTGGGCAGGGCTTCCCTGGTGGCGCAGTGGTTGAGCGTCCGCCTGCCGATGCAGGGGACACAGTTTCGTGCCCCGGTCTGGGAAGATCCCACATGCCGCGGAGCGACTGGGCCTGTGAGCCATGGCCGCTGAGCCTGCGCGTCCGGAGCCCGTGCTCCGCAACGGGAGAGGCCACAACAAGAGTGGGCAATAAATTAACCAATGTTATAGATGTTTAAACTCTCACCCCAGGCTCTCGTACTCATGGCATTGTTTCCAAACGTTCAACATTTTCCTGTTGGAAGGCTGTTTATGTTTAATTCACTTCTGCTGAGTCGGGGGTTAGCAAACTCCTCTCCACCACCCGGACGTTGCCGCCCGGCTGAGTTACATGGCTTTGTGCTCAGAGATCTGACGGGCTCATCCGTGGGGTCCGTGGCTCAGCGGCCACGCCTGCTGTGGACTCAGGTGCCACGGCGCCCGCGTCGGCTGCTTCCTGGAGGGCACAGGGTGGCCCTCGCGGCTCGGGAGCGACACCAGTAAGCCCGGACCCTGCAGGTGACCTTGAAAGGAGCACAGTCACCGAGAGCAGCTGACACCCTCGACCCCGGGGGCCGGGAGCCGAGCTCAGCCAGAACTCAGGAGGGTTCTCCTTTCCTGAAGCTGAGCTGGCTGCTCCCCGGTCACGTCTCACGGGCGGGCGCTGGGTCGGCAGGCCCGCCCTCCCTCTGGAGCCCGACCCTGGGGGCCAGCCCGGAGTGTGGGCCCCCTGCGCACCCCGAGCGCTTTGTCCTGACACACGGGGAGAGCGGCTTCTGCCGCCACAGCCACCGGACCCGGCTAGGGCGCGGCGCACAGCGCCCACGGGGCCCGACGGCGGCGCCGGCTCCCCGCTGGACAGCCCGGCCGAAGTGCCGGCTCCCGGGGCTCCAGCCAGACCCCAGGCTCGTTCGGAACCGGTGCCGTCCTGCTTTTCTTGTGACGTGACCAACTTTGAAGCGGGGAGAAGGCCTTCCCGTCCGGCCTCCCCACGCCTCCCCGCCGCCCGCGGCTACCTCACCTGTGGGATGGTTGTGCGTCATCCGGCCGCACTCCACGCTGACCTCGAGGAGCGTCTCCAGCCGCCCCGGCTGCCAGTACCGCATGCCCACGCACATCGCCTTGGTGGCAGCGCCAAACCCGGAGCCTGCGTGGAACGTGGGATACCTGGTCTTAGACCTCTGTGCCAGGGACGCCGGCTCTGGAAGTCTAGCTCTCACGAACCATATGAAGATGTACAAAAACTATGTGCTACCATGATTATCACAGGGTCATTTAAATGAGTCAAAAGTAGGGAAATTGCCCACATTCCTGACAAAGAAAAGAGAGGAAAGAAGTTGCAAAGCAGCCATTAAAAACAGGATTTTTGATGGGATGAGGAAATGCTCCTTCTGGGAAACGTAAGAGAGAGAATTGCACACACAGTATGCTTTCAACGATATGTTTCCTCTTTTTTTTTTTTTTGCAGTACACGGGCCTCTCCCTGTTGTGGCCCCTCCCATTGCGGAGCACAGGCTCCGGACGCCCAGGCTTAGTGGCCATGGCTCACGGGCCCAGTCGCCCCGCGGCATGTGGGATCTTCCCGGACCGGGGCACGAACCCGTGTCCCCTGCATTGGCAGGCAGACTCTCAACCACTGCGCCACCAAGGAAGCCCCAAAATACATTTTTTTTAAAAGCCACCAGGGAAGCCCACATCGTTATTCCTTTTAATGCCACATCTTTTAGAGAGGGTTAAATAATAAGTCAGCACCCACGTCCTCACCGTTTCCACCGCCTCCCTGCCCCACTGGCAGTGTCCTCCTGCCCGAAGGACGTCCTGGGCATCTCTCCCTGGGCACCTGCCCGGCATGAACTCCTCAGTTCGTTTGTCTGCGAAGGCCACTTGGCCTTCGCTCGGGAAGGCGTCCTCTGGGTGTCGGCCTGGCTGGTGCTTTCTCTGCACCCGGATGGCTCTGCCTCTGGCGAGAACCTGCCGTCTCTGCCTTGGTGGTCGGCACTGCAGGCGTGTTCCTGTCTTTATTATTAGTTTGGAGCGGTTTGATTGCCATGTGCCTTGATGTCGTTTGCTTTGTGTTTCTTGTGCTTGGAATTTATTGAGATTCTTGGGCATGTGAGTTTACGTTCTGCATCAAATTTGGAGAAATTTGGCCACTATCTCTTCCATCGTTTTTGTCCCCCCCCCCCCCTTTTAAGGGCTCCAGTTGTAGGTGCGTGAGTGCCTTGACTTGCGCTGTGGCTCCCTGGTGCCCTTTCCACATTCTGCGCTTCTTTTGTTTTCTGTATGTCCCATTTTGGATAGTTTCTATCGCTGTGCCTTTGAACTCACTAACCTTTTCTTCTGAAATGTCTAATCTGCTGTTAATCTCAGTCAGTGAATTTTTTTTTTTTTTTTTGCGGTACGCGGGCCTCTCACTGCTGTGGCCTCTCCCGTCGCGGAGCACAGGCTCCGGATGCGCAGGCTCAGCGGCCATGGCTCACGGGCCCAGGCGCTCCGCGGCATGTGGGATCTTCCCAGACCGGGGCATGAACCCGCGTCCCCTGCATCGGCAGGCGGACTCCCAACCACTGCGCCACCAGGGAAGCCCCTCAGTCAGTGGATTTTTAAACTCAGACATTGCACTGTCTTTCTCTAGAACTGTGACGTAGATCTTTTTTATCCCTACATGTCTCTATTTAACTTTGCAGAAATATCGAATCCACACTATTTTCTATCCTTACCTGGTAACTTTAGTGACTGTGTCAGGGTTTGTCAGTTCTGATTTACTGCTGTTTCTCTCTGTTATGGACCATGTCTCCCGCTTCTTTATGTGCCAGTAACATTTGATTTGATGGCATCCTTCAAGGTAAACCCAGAAGGACAGGTATGCCCTCAGAGTCAACCCGGAGGGCGTGTCCAGGACCCCAGGAGCAGAGGCCCTGGGGGCAGAGACTGCAGCTGCCTGACAACATCACCCCGAGGACACATGAGATCATCACAGAGACAGACATTTATGCAGGTGGTGTATGCTTTCCTTGATGCACTGGCTAAAAATAACACATGTAAAGGGAAAGCAGTGGGAAAATGTTCCTAAACCAGGGATGGTGACAGAGGAGCTGGGCATGCTAGTGACTCTGAAGCCGGCGCCCAGGCTGGCTGGCTCCCTGGGCGACCGGTCAGTGGGGTGACAGGCAGGGTAGTGTCGCGGGGCCCTGTAGCCCCATGGCCTTGGAGGGAGAGGAACTCATGCTCTGACCTTTCTCATTGAAGGGCGTGTGCCAGGCCAGGAGATAGTTGTCGGGCTTCAGCTGCGAGCAGCCCTCGACGGTGGCCGGGTCTACCCGCTGCCCCGGGAGCTTCTCGAGCACGTCCACGTAGCGTCGCACCATCTCACGGTACAGGTCGTCCAGGCACCAGAAGTCTGGGGCGGAAGGGGTGTGTGTGGGGGGCAGGGTCAGACAAGGGGCGGGTGGAAGGCAGCGACAAGGGAAGCGACAACCGCCGTCTGGCCCCATCCCCCCAGGAGGAGGGAGAGTCTGGGGTCGGCTCACAGGACCCTGGCTCCCCGGAGAAACCTGACCGCAGACGAACGATGCGCTGTGGATCTCATTGAATTTCAGATGCTGTGGTTTGCTGCTGTGCCTCTTCTAGCTACACACCAGAATCTAGGAAAACCCAGGATCCTCACACACGGCTCGCGGTTCTATCTGAGACGCCCAACTGGCCCGAAACCTGCTGTTCCTCGGGCCCTCGGGGACCCACGTCCAGGGTACAGGGAGCTGACCCTCTCCCATCTCCCTGTCAGCGAAGCCGCCAAGGGCCCGCTGCCCACCGTCCCCACTGCCTCCTCGTGGGAAGGCGTTCTGGGGACAAGCATGGTCTCGAGTCCCTCGGAGACCATGGGCCACAGGACAGGGGCGCCCAGGCTGTCACTTGGGTGGCACCGGGTTTGGCTGACCTGTACTGGGTGACCTCATGTGACGCCCCCCCCCCGCAACGCGCCCATCACTGCAGGGTCAGGCTCCTGTCTGTCTACTGTTTCCTCCCAGACAAGGCTCAGCGAGGGGCGGTCACTTGCCGAGGCCAGAGCTGGCCAATGGATTTCAATCGCAAAGCCTGAGCACTTCTGCCATTAAATGAATCCACAGCGTGGTGTACAGAGGCCACACACCCTCCAAAGTTATTAAAGAAAAAAGCTGGGCTGTTTGAAAACTAAACGTAAATGAAATTCCAACTTGTATGTTTAGGGAGCTGAAAACACATTCGCTTGACGAGCTTCTGGGGGCGCAGGCCTGCCCGAGTGCACCCTGGTGACCCGCTGGCCAGAGGGCGTGCGTCTGTCCAGCTGCGCCCGCAGCCATCGGAACTGGGCCCACTGCCACCGTCCTCACCCGGGGCGGATTCCGCCCTATTCCTGCCAAGGGGACAGGACTCGATCCAACCTGGGGGAGCACGTTCTCGTCGGGGGCCGAGCCGGGAGCTGTCCTGGGGGCCGCCGCACGGGACGGAGACACGCCGTGGGCTCTGCCAGGTGAGGACCAACACAAGGGCACACGGACTGACATGGAGGGACACAGGAACCTGCCTGAAAGCCTCACAATCAGCCCCCACTGCCCCCAGTTTCGGAGTTTGCAGACCCAGAAGGACACTTGCTGTGCCAGCTTGCTGTGGCGCTGTCTTATCTGAGGTGCCTTAGCTCTCCCCCCGGCTACTTGGGACCCGGCAGAGCAGACGGCATTCCTGTGCGGTGACAGCAGAGCTAAACCCGGCTGCTGGCACCGGCCCGCGGGGTGAGCACAGGGTGACACGTATGTTCCAGCCACTTCAGAGTTGCCGTAAGTTCTAATTTTGCAGTGACGAGCTCACCACTCGATACCTGTGGGGAAGGTGCGCCTCACAGACACCCGCTGCTTCTCTGAAACTCAGTGAAGACCTGCTCCTAAAATCAACCTGCTCCTTAAGGAAGCGTGTCTCCCCTCAAGTCATAGCATCTTCTTAGGACAACTGGGAAACTGCAGCAACTCTCCGAGCTAAATCCTATTTTGGTAGGTGGCGTTTTAACCACAGTTCATTGGAATTTAGAAGTAATTCCCCCAAATCTCATCGTAATGGGTCCAAACTTCAAACTGGCTTATTATTTTATGTATTGTTGAAATAAACTCAGAAGCAGGCTTACTACCCGCAGTGAAAAGCTGAGCCCTCATTCCAAACCCCGAAGCGAGCCGTTCGGCTGGTTTTAACCCTAGAGACAGAGGCTCGGCCGAGTGAATGTTTACAAAACAATGAAAGTCCCGGTTTAAGAACCTGAGGCTGCAGATGAGCAGAGAGTGATACTGTCACCCGAGAGGCTGCGTGGGAACACAACCCACGGCACGTCCGGTTTGCTGGGGACCCGGGTGTGACAAGCTGGTTTCAGCAGCGGCAGCGGGTGACCCCCGGCCCCCCCCCCCTCACCGCGGGATCCCGCGCTCCCGCCCGCCGGCACGCTGGGGCTGAGCCTCACCTGTGACCAGGGCCCCTGCCGTCGCCATGTGCATGATGGTGTTGTCGCTCACCGGCCACCTCTCTGGAGAGAGCACCAGGTGGTCCAGTCCCCCCACCTTTCCCGGCTCCTTCTGGACCTTGGGGCCCGAGGCGCTGTCCTCCCCGAAGGCGTGTCCGTGCCCGAGTGCATCGCCCACGGCCCCCAGCAGCATCGCAGCCTGAAACTTCTCCATCTCTGCCGGCAGCTGCCGGGTGCCCAGCCTTCAGCCCACCCCGCCGGCCCCTGTTCTGGTTGCCGCGTCGCCGTCGGGAGCCTCCCCGATCGGCCAGGCGCCCTCTTCTGTCCCGGGCGGGCGGTCGGCACCAATGAGGAAGCCGTCTGGGCCCGCAGCCCGCAGCCACGTGGTGCACCCAGGGCTGGCTCTTCAGTGGGGGCACCTGCGGCTCAGAGCACCGCTTCAGAGGGAGGTCTGCACGGCGCGCTGGGGAGATGCACACGTTTCTAGAGCTTCCAGGTGTAATTCGCGCACTGTCGGGCTCACTGCATTCGGTCCAGTCACTCGGCGTGTGTCAACCTTCCCCGCGGCCCAGGCGGAGAGCCCGCCCGAGCCGCGGCCCCTCTGCTCCCTGGGCCTCCACCCACCCACTTGGTCTCTGTAGCTCTGCCTTTCCGGGACTTTCAATTACATGGGATCGCGCTCGGCGGCCTCCACGCTGCGACTCGGCTGTCACACGCACGGCTCTGTTTTCCGGAGGACTCGTTGATTATAAAGCGTGTTTATGGTAGAAAACTGCCACGTGCGAAGGGGGAAAGTATGTGGAGCCGCCGCGTGCGTGATCACGGGCGTCCCCGCGGCCCAGCGTCAGCGAAGGCTCCCCGACAGCCAGCCTCCCGGCCGCTCCGTGTGTGCGCAGAGCCCGGAGCCCCGAGGGGCCGGCGAGGGCGCCCCGTGAAGGCTCACGCACCTTAAGCGTCCTCCCACCGATCCCGTTCCACGGGGAGGATGTTCACGGCCGTGCTGAGGCTGAGAGTGGGGGGAAGCCCTGCAAACCAGGGACCTTGACTTGAAAAGAGGGGTCAGGAGAGCTACCACCTCTGTCCCCAGGCCCCTTGTCCCCCAGGTTCTGGTCCCACGTCAGACCAGGACAAGCAGGAGGGCGTCACGCCGGGATGTAAGAAACACGTCTGATAAAACTTAAGTTTCCTTCAATAACAAGATACTAAGATGCCTTTAAATGAACGGGTCGCACTTCCCTGGCAGTACAGTGGTTACAACTCCACACGGGTTGGATCCCTGGTTGGGGAGCTGAGATCCCGCATGCCGCGTGGCGTGGCAAGAAAATAAAAGAAAAGGTAAATGAATGGGTAGTATCATCACAGCACTTATTAAAAGAGAGGTTCTGGAACCCGACTCTGGCCGGCACAGTCCGAGAGGTCCTAAAGCAAAAAGTCCTTTACGACCAGTGCAGTTGGCCCGGGTTGCTAGGGTGCAGGCTCCCTCCCCGAGGGCAGCCCCTCAGACAGCCACCCACGTAGGGAGAAAGGCACCCTGTGGCAGAAGCCGTCTATCGCTGAGGCAGAGGTACCGTCTTCGGCTGGTCTCTTTTGCTGAATCTGAGGCAGCAGACACTGTCGTCAAGATGCTAAGAGCAATCCCACACTATCTGGCCGACGTCAGCGAGAGGAAGAGGTGAGGCGAGCCCACTGCATCGTTCCTGCAGTGTTTGCCAAGCCCCGGCCGTGTGCCACGAGTCGTGGGTATGGCTGTCCCCACAGAGCCTGGAGCTGGAGACATATGTAATATCCCACTTAAGCGTTTACTAAGGTAAAAGAACACACTGACACGTGCGATGTCACCAACATGGAAGGAGGTGATGCTGTCCAGCCCAGGAACTCCCGGCAGGCACGGGGAGGCCACGTGTGTTAAACCTCCCACATTTGGTTAACCCGCATGTCTTCACTGTATGTATAGTTTGCGTTTCAGTGGATCAGTTAGGTACGTAACTCCCGCCAGTTCAAGGAAATTCGTGTATTATGAGATCTGTGACCGCCCACGTGGAACAGGTGTATTTAGCAGATACTATGTGATACCTAGAAAGGAAAGTATGTGACCCAGGCCGTCCGTGTGGGACGTGATCCTGTAACAAGGCGGCAGGGACACAGGTTGGGAGGGTCCCAAGTGTGGTGGCCACTCCCCTGACGTGGGACCAGGACCCTGACATCCAGGACCCTGACATCCAGGGCCTTGACATCCAGAACCCTGACATCCAGGGCCCTGGCATCCAGGACCCTCGCATCCAGGACCCTGACATCCAGGACCCTGACATCCAGGACCCTGGCATCCAGGACCCTGGCATCCAGGACCCTGACATCCAGGACCCTGACATCCAGGGCCGAGCGTCCGAGAACAGACCTGAGAGGCACCATGACACCAGGAAGAGAATTTTAGTGTTTCCAGAGTCCTCAGCACTTTCACAGCACGCACGACTTAAACGTGTATTATAGAAGGGAAACCTACAAGTGTTGGAAGAGCCTTTGTCACTGTTTTGGTATCTGTTGATAAACAACTCCACAGAACACCTTTTCTCTACATAACTTTAAACCTCAAGAATGAAACGGTGCCACACACCTCATGATTCTCACAGGCCCGTCCGAGTTCCATAACCTCTCTGAACAGAACTCTTACATGTCAGAACCCACGAGGCCTTGAACGACGTGTTACAGTTGGTGAAGTTTCTATTAACGCCTCTTAGAACTCCAGTCTTACAGGTAGAGGACGGGGCAGCGGGGCCTGGGAGAGATCAGGTGACTTCCCTGGCCCTGCACCTTGTGACGGGCCGACCCGCCCAGACTGGGTCTCCAGGCCCCAGGCCTGAGTGGGTCACATTTTTGAATGCCAAACCAACCACACATTTTAGGCACACTTTCTGGAAATCTGAGTGAATTCCCCTCTCCTGTGAAATCACCCCGATTTATCTGTCTCACGAACGGGGTTGCGGGCTGGGCAGCGAGCACGCCTGTGGCGTGAAGATCGTTCCCAGTATGAGGTGGGGTCCACACAGCGGTTCTGGACAGCGTCCCCCCGACAGGGGGCACAGGAGGCCGGGCAACGAGACGCGGACACACACGTCCACCTGCACGTGACGCGGCTTCCGGTGTGGGGTTTTGGGACAACAATGTGTATTTTACCTCCCAAATGTGACAACCGTAGGAGGGCGGGTGGGTGAACAGCACTCATATTACAGACGGCTGAAAGGACAGAAGGCTGATGTTTAAATCTATAATTTATCATGAAAGAAATAATTTTTCATGGAAAAATGTCCTTTTAAATACATTTTTTTTTTTTTTTTTTTGCGGTACGCAGGCCTCTCACCGCTGCGGCCTCTCCCGTTGCGGAGCACAGGCTCCGGACGCGCAGGCTCAGCGGCCATGGCTCACGGGCCCAGTCGCTCCGCGGCACGTGGGATCTTCCCGGACCAAGGCACGAACCCGCGTCCCCTGCATCGGCAGGCGGACTCTCAACCACTGCGCCACCAGGGAAGCCCCAAAATACATTTTTTTTAAAAGCATACTTTATGACGCTCTTAGGAAGCTCAGCTGCCGTTATCAGAAGTAAAGCAGACCCACTGACTTGCAGGCAATTTAAAAGAACACTTTTCTGGAATCACGATGACATCATCGCTGTGCAAACTGCAACGGTGCGTTAACCTGTAAAATGATTCCCAGATGAGCATCCAGAGAAAAGTGAAATGAAAATAGAGCTGATAAATCTAGACACTTGATGATTCAAAAAATATAAATCTTAACCCTGGCACCAAGTTCAAAACCGCCAGCATCCACGACACGCGTCCCCTTTAGGGCACGTTTCCAGCAGCCTGACTTGTAGTTCCTCGGGGTGGTTACGGACAATTGAGCGAGTGTGGTGAGCACAGCCTCGCTTTGGGTCATGATCAACAGCCACCCTGCAGCCTGCAGACAGGCCCCAGCTCCTCCGTAAACGCAGAAATCATGCGGAGGTCTCTTATGATTGGGTCTCTGGGCGCCCCAGCAGCGAGCTCAGAGGGTCTCCGTGCGGCGTCCACAGTCAGCGGCGTCTTCTCTAAGCAGCAGGAGAGGGTCTCCAGTCTCACGACTGGTCAGGATGACTTCCAAAATGGGCAATGGGCATGGCTGGCCAGTGTCTCCCGCAGGACAGCTCCCTTTTCACCTTAGTCCATCTCGATTTTCTGCCTAGAGAGGGCTGCCTTAACCACCCGTGACCACTGGCCGTGCACATTCTACGAAATCATCTGTAAGAACAGGCCCCACTCCTGAAGGAGAGCAAATAGATTTTTTAAAAAAATCAACGATTTAGAGCAATATTTTTACATTCAAAGCATTTTTTCACAATCCAACTTTTATATTTCAAGAACTCAAATGATTTTAACTTTCTATAGCCTGTGCTCCACTTGAAGAATCGGCTAAAGTGACCCTCTTCTGCTCTAGCCAGACCAGGGTTGGCAAGCGCTGGTGTGCTTGTGTGGAGCCGGCCCTGTGAGGACCGCCCACCCTTGACCCCGCCGGGAATGTGCACAGTCACCTCCTGGCCGGGCAGAGGGAGCCGACGGTGGGCGGGGCCGGGGGGGTGGGCATCCTTCTCTAACGGGGCAGCGCCCACAGCTCAGCAGGCAGGCAAACGCTCCCCAAGTCCTGAAATGTTTGGGGTGGGGGCCGCAGCAGGCGTGGTCGTGCTCAGGTGAGCAAATGGAGGCTGCGGTCTTCCGTGAGCTTCGGCCGTGAGACGGAACAGCTGCTGCAGCCACACGCGGGGCAGCGGGCCCCAGTGACTGTCCTGCTTGAGGTCTGCCTCAGGGCCTCTGCACGTCCACTCTGAAATGGCTTAGCTCGGACAACTGTCTTCCTGACTTTACCTAAATATGAAGCTGTATTTTCTTTTGTGTGATTTACAAGACATAATAAAGTGACTACTAGTCACTATGATCACCACCCCCGTCTCCGGACGGGGTCGGGCCAGGAGTCAGCAGGTGCTGTCCGCCCCGGGGCCTGCGCTGCCATCACTGACCCGTGGTCCGGGGGCAGAGACATGCGCACCCACGTCAGTGCCTCTGGCCATCGCCTGAGTTCCGACTACTTCTCGTACCTTCTTCATCATAGCTGGACATGTCATCTGCAATCATATTTACAAAATCTAGCAGAAGGTTCCAAGTGTTTCTTGGGATTGATCTTTTGTGATGCTTCTAATACACAAGAGAAAAAACCCACCAGACTTACGGTACAGACTTAGCTCTCAGGTGTTCTACTGGCCTGGTTATCTCAGAACAGAATTTGATAAGGAATAAGTACCGGAACAATATTGTCAAAAGTTAAAATAATAATAGCGCTTTGGGTAAACACTGAGAGCTACATAATGCCAATGTGCAGATGTAGAAAGCAGACTTATTTAAACACAAATTAAAACTTTAAAAATACAAAAATTATAAACTTATTTCAAATCAAGAGGCAGCACTTTTAATCTCTTCACCTAAGCCCCAAACCAATTCAGAAACAGGGCGGGCAAGTAGCATTTTGATACATTTATTTTCCTAAATACCAGGGAGTTCTTTGAAGTGGTATGGGACACTTTTCCGGAAATGCCTCGGTAGTTCCTCGGTACTTCAGGTGCAGCGAACACGTGCAGGATACCCGCCCGCAGCTCAAGGGGCAGTCCCGGCCCCGGCCCGGCCTCCCCTTTATCTCCCAGAGGCTCCCAGCTCATGAGGCAGCAGGTGCCACTGTGGGCCCATCTGCACACGTCACAGGCACACGGTTCACAGACGGCTCGCCAGCTCGTCTCACACCTCAGAACACGCGCGTGACCAGCACAGTGTGCTCTTCTGCACCTGCCGTCCCACGTGAGCCCTGTGTCCCTCTGCCGCGTGGCGTTCTGGGGTCCTTCCCAGGCTGCTCCAGGAGGGCTTTCCCACACAGCCCCCACCCCGCCACCCGGTGGAAGGGCTGCTCCTCGCACGCAGGGGGGCCTGAGCAGGACAGCACGGCCACCGCCCGAGGTCAGGGCGGCCCGCACCCTGCACGCTCCCCGCAGCCGCAGCCGAGACCCCGGCCCGAAGGACCCGCACCCCCGGGGCCAGCTGAGCCCCCACTCCTCCCGAGCGATGCACAGGACATCCGGGGTGGCCCCAGCCTGTGAACACAGCTGGTGGGGGGGCCCGCTGGTGGGCAGTCCAGAGGACGCGGCCTCGGAGCAGCCGGGGCAGAGCCCCTGGGCGCCGCTTTCAGCTGGTGGCAGAGCGTGGCCGCGGGTCTGCTGCTTGGTGACTTCTGCGCGAGGCCCTGGCCCCACAGTGCCCGCGGTCAGGCCCTCAGTTAGTACGGAGGCCACCGCACCCACTGAGCCCTCCCGTGGGGCCCCGGCAAGCAGGAAGCCACTTACCAACAAAAGGATGTTCCAAAGATCTAAAAACTTAAGCCTTCCGGAGAATACCAAATTCCAATACGCGACGGCCATTTCTAAGTCTGGCGAAAAAAGGGAAAGAGCAGTTAGTGAATCCCAGTTTCTTTTTCCGCTGCACAGTGACCACTTCTCAGCGCGCTGGTGTTCACTTACTCAATAACCATCAGCAACCTCACCTAGAAGTGACACGAGGGCTAATGCGTTCAGAAGTGTTCCTGAAGTTGTGTGTAATCTAATTTTGTAACTCCGGGGAAATGTCTTTTAAAAAGGATTTGTTGCGAATTCCCTGGCGGTCCAGTGGTTAGGACTTGACACTTTCACTGCGGTGGCCCAGGTTCAATCCCTGATCAGGGAGCTAAGATCCCGCAAGCCACGCAGCACAGCCAAAAAAAAAAAAAAAAAGGGTTTGTGTACTATGTTATTTGGACATGTAAATAAGTATCCCCTAATTAAACCATTTCAAAGACTCTCATTTTCTTATGTATTGGGCTTTCTTGAAAGCTGAACCGACCTGGATACTATTAACACATATCATTTATTTTTAAAAATAGCCCAATGCACTTTCTAAGTGATGAACTACAAGTTAAAAACTCATTTAGAAAGGAAGGGACACAGTGCTTTCCAAATAGACCTGCCTTGCCACTTAAGAACTAAAACAGAATCTGATTCAAAAGTCGATCATATAAGTACTATAAAGACTTGGAACTTCTTGGGACTTCCCTGGTGGCGCAGTGGTTAAGAATCTGCCTGCCAATGCAGGGGACACGGGTTCGAGCCCTGGTCCGGGAAGATCCCACGTGCCTTGGACCAACTAAGCCCGTGCACCACAACTACTGAGCCTGTGCTCTAGAGTCCACGAGCCACAACTACCAAGCCCACATGTCACAACTACTGAAGCCTGCATTCCGGGAGCCCGTGCTCCACAACAAGAGAAGCCACCTGATGAGAAGCCCACGCACCACAATGAAGAGTAGCCCCCACTCGCCACAACTAGAGAAAGCCCGTGTGCAGCAATGAAGACCCAACGCAGCCAAAAGTAAATAAATAAATTTATTTAAAAAACCCAACAAGCTTAAAAAAAAAAAGACTTGGAATTTAAAGTCAAGACAATTAAGCATGTTTATTTGGTCACTAGTCAAAGTCAACGTCCTCAGTTTTCATTTTTCCTTGGCTGGAAGGTAGCGATGATCTCACAACTTCTATACAGACCGACACTGTGGGGCTCGATCATAAGATGGTGTCTTAATGCCACATGAACGCGACGCTGTGGGGCTCGATCATAAGATGGTGTCTTAATGCCACATGAACGCCGTTTCAGGGCTGCAGTAGAGGATGCTCCCCGACCCACCGTGCTTGGAATACAGACTCATTCTCTGCTCACTGCAAGGTTAGTACTGATTTCTTTCTATATGATTGATACACAAGTACGTCAAGGGGCTGAGAAGGTTACTTCCTAAAGCTGACAGCATTTAACCATGTCGGCGAGCACTCATCACTGTCGGATGACCGAACAGTCATACTGCAATAATGCTTACGGGTGCACACCAGTTAGATTAATGTGAAAAGCTGATGAGTAAACATTTAAGGTAACAAATTCCTTTAAATGCAAAATACTCAGCTAATCACTTTTCAGATTTTTACCTAAATCTGGTTTGGTCCCACCTGGACAAAAAACTATTAAAGCTGGAGCTCTGGCCTGAGCTTTCCAGGGTCAATCATTAACACTGGATGAGCAAAAGAATCTATGAGTAGCAGCCAACTTTAAATAAAATGCCTCTGTTCCCTGTGTGTTTAAAGTGCATGAGATGTTCTCAGTCTGAAATAACCTGGAGTCTTAATCAGAAAGAAAGCAATGGTCAGGAAATTGCAGGAGCTGGTAGACGGGAAGGCTGGCTGGACCTTACCTACGGGGCCCTCGGCATTTACGCCTAGATGATTAGTCCCGTCCTGCTAAGTCTGCATCCTTATCACTTAGGAAATCTATACTCAACGCATCTTAATGATGAAAAGTGTCACACTGAGAAATGGAGGTAAACCTGGGGAAGAAAGAAAAATAAGATTTTTGGCAGATATTAAATCTAGTTACTTTTAGGTTCGTTTGGTCCTAGAAACCCTTCTTATAAAGTTCCCGATTTGTATGTTTGCAAACCACACAACTAAAGTAGAAGTGTGCATTTTCAGAGACCTAGCATCACTTACATAAACACGCCGAGTGCTGTCCTGATGGACTTGGCCATTTGCAGAATAACAACAACAAAACTCAAAATTACAGAACTTGAGAGCTGAAATCAAGAATAAAAGCTACTCCAGTGACCATAAAAGGAACCTTCCCAGCACCTGTATTCTTTCCAATAACCTCTTAAAATCCTACCTCCCGAGTAAGAAAATGTTTAGAAGGTACTCCCTTTAGAATTAGATCATAAAGATGTTCCTTCTGTCAAAAAAGGGTCTTTGGGCCAATGTAAAAATTAGCTAATAATCATGAAACTTTACTTCCTCAAAAATTATGATTTTTCAAAGCCAACTGATTCCAGACTCTAGCCGGTATAAAACCATGCTAAGCTTCTTACCTCAAAACACGGAGTCAAGGAGCCTTAATTATCTCCTCTTTTAGCCTATCAGTTAAGCACAGGCTAAGGAATCATCACACACAAAACCATACAGCACATGCACATCTTAACACACACATAAGCAGACACAGGAACCTGAAGGAAAGGAAGGGTTCATCTGTGGGTTTTTTTTGATTACCCCTTTCCACTGCTGTCCATGCTTTTTCTAGGAATTATAGGAACACTTGTATCAATCTCTTTAATTTATATTTAACCCTTCAGAGGACAGACCATGTAATATACTTTGGAAATTGTAAAATCAATTGTTCCATTTGGGGTCCGCAGCCATAAAATTCCTCATCTTGCTCTATTTTTGTTAAAAAAGCCCTCAGAAAACCTTATAAAATAAAATGTATGTGAAATGTTCAGGTATCCAACCATTTTATATTCCTTCAGTTAGTCTCACGAAGCAAAGAAACAAAATCAGTAACTGCTCTAATTCTCTAGTGAATGATTTTTTAAAATAAATTTATTTATTTATTTATTTTTGGCTGCGTTGGGTCTTCATTGCTGCATGCGGGCTTTTCTCTAGTTGCAGTGAGTGGGGACTAATCTTTGCTGCGGTGCGTGGGCTTCTCATTGCGGTGGCTTTTCTTGCTGCGGAGCGTGGGCTCTAGGCACGCGGGCTTCAGTAGTTGTGGCTCGCGGGCTCTAGAGCGCAGGCTTGGTAGATGTGGCGCACGGGCTTGGTTGCTCCATGGCATGTGGGATCTTCCTGGACCAGGGCTCGAACCCGTGTCCTCTAGCTTTGGCAGGAGGATTCTTAACCAGTGCGCCACCAGGGAAGTCCCTAGTGAATGATTTTTTATAAACATGTTATTTAAGTGTCTATAGGCATAAAAATAAATAAGACAATGATTTTTTTCTCAGTAAAGGAATTACAGGATAAACTATAAATTTCACCTTTTGTGCTGCCTCACGCTACAGCAGATCTATTTAAAATAGAGGCTAAACGTACTAGGCTCCGTATTGCCAAAGTGTTTCAAAATGCTCCGCACCCTCATACTGAATTTCTTTGAAATTATTCATGCAGAAAGAAAGTAAATTTTTAAACTTTCAATTAGGTAATGAATTGAGACTGTCATGCAGCACTCCACCGTATTCATATTTTATAACTTCTATGCGCTGCTGACGGTAAATGTTTGGGCTGTTCCTTGTTTTCTGGTCACAAAGAATGTTGTTAAATGGTTTCTGGACATGTATCCCGGCACACAAGTGAATGTGTTGCGGCAGACACCCACCCATGATTTCATGAGTCTTGTTAAACAGTTCTCCAAGCTGACTGCCCACCAGCGCCGTCCTGGAGCTGTCCTGGAAGAGTGAGCTGTGTATTCTCATGTGCACACTGCCATGAATGAGGCTGAGCACCTGCCTGTATTTTCACTGGCCATATGGAATGCACCTTTCGTGAAGGCCTTGGTCAGGTCTCTTGCCCATTCTCAGTTAGGTTATCTTTTTCTTGTTGTTCTGTGGGAATTCTCTATGTATCAGGGACACAGGCCTTTGTCAGTTGAGTATCTCATGGCTCCCACCCCTCACGTGGAAGCCTCTTCACTTCTCGATGCTGTTTCTTGGTCAGAAGTTCTTATTTTAGCGTAGCACACTCTACAGTCTTCTCTACAGTGATTTTTCATGCGTTTTACAACCTGTCCTACTGCGTGGCCATAAGGATATTCTCCTCCATTATTTTCTAAAGGTTTCTGCCTTCGGCCTTTCACACTGAGATCTACAACCCACCTGAACTGACTTTCATGTACGGTGTGAGGCAGAGATCAAGATGCATTTTTTTCCATACGACCAGACCATTCTCCCAGGACCATCTGCTGAAAAGCTGTCCCTTCTCCGCTTCTCCAAAGGGCCACCTTTACCATAAGTCAAGTGTTCCTGTAAACACGGATTTGTTTCTGGGCTCTCCATTCTGCTCCACGGGCCTATTCATCTAACCTGGCCCCCAATGTCATGTACTCTTAATTACTGTAGCTTGAAAAGTCCCATGTTATGCTCTGAGATAATATCCACCCCCTCACTTTTCTGTTACTGTGATCAATTACATTGATCTACTTTGTAATGTTAAAAAAATCTCGCATTCCTGGACTACAACAAACGTCATGACAAATTAGCCTGGTGTTTTGGTTGATTTGTTTTGGGGGCTTAATTTATTTTGCTGAAAATTTGTTTAGGATTTTTGGATCTTATGTTCATCATAAGCATCTTTTGATTCTTATGACTGGGAGTGGCCTATAATTTTCCATTCTCAAAATGTCCTCTCTAGGCCTTATTATCTAGGTTGTGCTGGCCTCAAAACATATTGCGGAGTGTTTCTTCCTGTACTATTCTCTGGAAGAGGTGGTGTGAAATTGGTGCTATTCTCTTTATTAAAACCTTGGTAGGATGTGCCAGTGAACCAATTCTGGCCAAGAGTTTTCTCTTTGAAAAGATTTTAAATTATGGGTTTAGACTCTGTAAGAGTTATGGAACTATTTCTTCATGTGCCCATTTCAGTAAGTTGTCATTTTTAAAAGAACATCTCTATTTCATTCAGGTTTTCAAATTTACTAACATAAAGTTGTTCATAATACTCTCATCCTTTAATCTGTAGGGTCTATAGTGATGTCCCCCTTTCACTCTATATTGGTTATTTGTTATTCATTACTTTGTAAGTGTTCACATAACAAGCTTTTGGCTTTACAAATCCTTTCTACTTACAACTTTTAAAAAATTTCATGAAATGACTGCCTGTTTAAAAAAATTAATTCCTTCCGTCAACACTCTACCTTCCTGCTCTTTTCTCTACTTAAGATGGATGCTTTCCTTACTGATTTTCAACTTTTCTTTCTAAAATATGCATTTAAGAAGCTGAATCCTGCAAGTTTTCATATGCAGTGTTTTATCATTCAAAATACTTTCTAATTTCCACTGTAACTTTTCTCAACCCAAGGGTTATTCAGAGGTGTAATATCCACACTTATTTCAATCTATCTTTTTGTTATATTCCTCGTTTAATTCTATTGTGGTCAGAAAACATGCTCTGTATCATTTCAAGTCTTTGAAATTTGTTCAACTTACTTTACGGCCCAGTTTATGGTCAATGTTTATAAATGTTCTATGTCTTTTTGAAAAGAATATGTATTCTTCAACATCAAGGGCAAAGTTCTATCTCCTTTTCCAAATCTTCTATTTCCTTACTGATTTTTCATCTACTTATTCTACCAGTTGGTAAGATGTGAGAATTCCCCACTTTGCTTGGAGTTTGTCTCTTTCTCTTTAGAGTGTTAACTTCTGCTTTAAATAAACTATTACCCTCTTGGTGAAATAAAACTTTTATCATTAAGAAATGTCCTTCAGATTCCCCCTCCCTCCCTCCCTTCCTCTCCTGCTTCTCCTTCTTTCCTCCATCCCTCCCTCCTTCCTTCTTTCCCTCCCTCCTCGCTTCCTTCCCTCCTTCCTTCCTGTCCTTCCTCCTTCCTTCCTTCCTTCCCCCTCTCCTCTGCTCTTTAATTCATTAACACATAACTTTCTCCTCCTTGTTGTCTCCTCCATGTATATACTGGTTGGTTCCTCTTTGTCAAAATGTCTCTAGTTGAGACATGATGTGAGGTCTTCTGGAAATGTGATACCCGTTGCTAAATACCATCCTGCACTGCCTGCCTAGGGCTGGAGTTGGGGGAACTGAGAACTCAGGGGATGTGCATCCACAGCTGAAAATGACCAGGAACACAGAATTCCAGGGCCTTAAGAAGGTGGAAGCAGACCCACCCTGGAATAGAAGATTAATTGTGCATAAAACCATGGAGATGATGCTGACCAGACCATTGCAGGACCAGTCTGAGATGATTATTGGAGCTGACTGTGCTGTTCTGCATGTAGCCCCCCCTCCCAGCCTGTATACACCTGAGACTCCCTTTTAAAATCTTTGTTCCCTAACCAGCAACTTGGAGATGGTCTGAGGACACTAGTCCACCATCTTCCCAGGTTGCTGGCTTCCTGAATAAAGCACCTTTTATTTTTTCAAAAAAAAAAAAAAAGAAAGAAAAGGATATGCCCTTCATTATCTCTAGAATTACTATTTGCTTCAAAGTTTGTTTTAATATTAACAGCCACGTCAGCCTTTTTTTGGTTAATGTTTGCATAATGTAACAGCTTCTGTCCTTCAAATTGTTCTGTGCCCTTATGTCTTAGTTGTATCTACTGTAGACAGTACACATGGTAGTTGACTTTTTAAAAAAATTTTTTAAATTTTATTTATTTATTTTTGGCTGCATTGGGTTTTCGTTGCTGCGCGTGGGCTTTCTCTAGTTGCAGCAAGCAGGGGCTACTATTCGTTTCGGTGTGCAGGCTTCTCATTGCGGTGGCTTCTATTGTTGCGGAGCACGGGCTCTAGGCATGTGGGCTTCAGTAGTTGTGGCACGTGGGCTTCAGTAGTTGTGGCTCGCGGGCTCTAGAGCGCAGGCTCAGTAGTTGTGGTGCACGGGCTTAGTTGCTCCGAGGCATGTGGGATCTTCCCGGACCAGGGATCAAATCCATGTCCCCTGCATTGGCAGGCAGATTCCTATCCACTGCACCACCAGGGAAGCCCCACGGTAGTTGATTTTAAACAATCCATCTAACATTTAAGTCACTTACACTTAATATAATTATGTAAATGCTGACATTTTCAGGCTTAAATCCTCCATTTTATCATGTGTTATTTGTCCTGCCATAAACTAATTTTCCTTGTGTGCTTTTTTTTTTTCTTGGATTCTTTTGGATTGAATTTTAAAATAACTTTACTCCTTGCTCTCTTATTTAGGAATTATATATAAATTATAATTCTCCTACTGTTTTTATAGTCATTATAACATATACAGAGAGCGAACAAATATTTTCCCACTGTTTTACCCTTTTCATTCTCCTAAAAGCATCTTTTGATAAGCAGAAGTTTTTAACTTTGATGGAGTCCGCTTTATCAACTTTTTCCTTATGGCTAGCGCATTTTATGTCTTCCCTGAAAAAGTGTTGCTTGACCCAAGGTTACAAAGATAGTCTCTTAATGTTTTGTCTCAAACTTTATGGTTGTCAGTATCTTGTACAGGTCTACAATCTAGCCCCAGTTAATTTTTATATATGGTGTGAAAGAGGGACCGAGGTTAAATTTTTTCACCTTTACCCAGTTGCTTTGGCATCATTTGTTGACAAGGCTCTTTTTCCCCCACTGAAATAATAAAGGCTGACTAACAATCTTGCAGTAGATGAACAGAGTAGTAAGACTCCACTAATTCGCTTCAAGACTTACTCTAAGGCTACAGCAATTGAGAATGCGTGGTGTTGGGTTAAAGACGGATCAAAAGACCCACGGAATGCAAGAGGGAAGAGCCGCACAGGCAGCGCTCTGTGTTAAAGATGCCAAGGTGTTTCATAAAGTTCACTCAGTTTACCTGAGAATCCTGCAGCCCCAGGAAAGGATGTGGAATTAACTGTTAAAGGCAGGTGTTCTAACCAGTCAGGAGTTAGCAGGCAGGAAAGCATGTGGAGAAATCACAGCAGAGCAGACACGAAAGCCAAAGCGTTCCTAGAGGTTAGTGCTGTTCAGACTAGAAGCAAAGCCCTTCACATCTCTAAAAACAAGGTTATCTCCACAATATAGCTCACTAATACATTCATAATACTTTTGTTTAATATTTTGAAAAATAGTTTCACCTTTAACTGCTCCTTGCGGTGTAGAGAGAGAGCAGTCCACCAACCATCATTAACTTGTAAGCTAAAGTTATGTTCTGTGTACTCCAGGTAAGAGGGCGTGAGATGATCTAAAACATTTTGGGAAGATTCACTCTCAAAATCTTTAAAATATACTTTTTAAGTTATGATACTTTATAGGATAATAGGAATTTAAAAATTTTACTTGTGGGCTTCCCTGGTGGTGCAGTGGTTGAGAGTCCGCCTGCCGATGCAGGGGACGCGGGTTCGTGCCCTGGTCCGGGAGGATCCCACATGCCGCGGAGCGCCTGGGCCCGTGAGCCATGGCCGCTGAGCCTGCGCGTCCGGAGCCTGTGCTCTGCGACGGGAGAGGCCACAGCAGTGAGAGGCCCGCCTACTGCCAAAAAAATTTTTACTTGTACAGCATATTTCTAGACAACGTCTAAGAAATGCCATCAACCGTCTCTATAAGAAGCACTTCTTTCCAAAATGTCCCATTTTGGGGAGACTTTAACAGGCGGGACAACCTGTAGTCCAATGCCAAGGGAACGCTTCTTTAAGAGGTCTTTCCTATTCTAAAACTACTGGTAACTCATCTAGGCTTTCCTAGGTGAAAAGAACACGGAACACATATGCTGTTACAAATTGTTACAATGATACCTTTCGTTTGGTTGGTTTTATTCAATACCAGGAATGTGGTGAGATATTAGAAATAAAGTCTCATAGAGTTGAACGTCACAACAGACACATGGGTTCAGTGAAAACAAGCACGCTGTCAGCACAGCCTCACAACATGTTTACCTAAGGCCTTTGAGCTCCTTCCAGGGCTAAAAATAAGTGAGTTTAGGTTGTCAACACTGAGCTATCAGAGTAGCAGCAAGTCAGCTTTTACACACCTCCTGAAACAGTAATAAGCTCAGTGATTAGAAGAGTTTATGTACTTTCATTTACCTCTCCGACTCATCCAGCAAGTCAGAAACACGTTACGGTATGGATGAAGCTTTTATCCCAACCCTGTAGGTAGAACAGGGAGGTGTTACAAGCAAAAAGACAGAATGACATTTTATTAATGCTTAATACAGCAACACAACAAATTATACATGGAGCACACAGTATTATGAGATAAATTAAATGGCTGAAAACAAACCAGCAAAAACACCTGGATGTCTACCGTCAATTCAAAACTGGAAGGAAAAAAATTAAAAGGAGAAAGTGTTACAAAAGAAATTAATCTGAATAAAAACACTGAACAAAACTTTAACTGGAATTTAAAAGAAAACCAAAGGTTTAATAGTACAAATGCATAAGAAATTTGTAAACTATTCAAAGGACATAAATTGATATGTAGTTTACAGGTTGCTGAAACATAATTAATGTTGAAAGTACTTTCCTTTCTGAAAAAGTTTAAACTGAGACCAATTTACTTACCCAAGCTCTGTCATGCCATCTACAAATTCTTTTTGCTAAATTCACATAGAGCCGTGGCCCTGAATTTCCACACTATACCCAAAACGGTGATACTAGGCTTAAATCTAGGCTTAAATCATCACAAAACTTCTGAATTCCATCAATTCCAATTTTATTTTCATCTTGTGGGTCTGTAGTTAAAGTTAAGGGGAAAACAAATTAAAAATTTGGATATTTTGAAAAGCATTACTAAAATGGGTGGTAAGAATCATACCTCTACTACATAGTTTTGGCAAGTGTGTTTCAAATACATCAATCAATGCACTGCAATTTTCTACCATATGTGAAAGACATAGCAATAAATAATGATTTATCCAGAAAATACTCTTTATTTTTAAAATCTAGGTTCCTGGGTTTTTGGGGTGGGGAAAATCATTGAAACTTCTTTGAAGACTTCATCATTAAGAAAAAATTAATTAATCTCCCTAAAGTAAAATAAAATTTCAAGTTTACAGAATTTTACCTTGCCCAAAGGCAAACTGCGACGAAAAACACTGTAAAGCATGCAAAATATTTTAAGTTTTTATCACCACCTTGTCAAAGCAAAAGAAAGATGTTTTTCTTTTAAAAGTGATTTCATTTGCTACAGTGCTAATACTACTGCACAATACTCATTCTTCAGTTGTTTAGTTTCTGCATCCACGTTTAACAGCTTAGAAATTCAGGCTCCCCCCCCCCCCCCCCCCCCCCCCCCCCCCGGCAATTTCTAGTTTAGACATAAAATTAAGGAACTTAGCATTTCTCCATGGGAAAATCAAACCGTGAAATCCATTAAAAGAATCAGCAAGGCCTCACCAAGCGAGGCCCTGTGACCTCAGCCTGTGTCTCCTAACCGGCATCACAATGACAGACCACCTGCTGCCGTAGAAGGTGGGAGAAGCAGGCCCGCGGCACCTTCCCGCAAAGGAAGGTTAAGTGCAACAAACTCTTCTTCCATCACACGAGATCGAACTCTTAAGTGCTCAACGCCACGTTTATATATACATATGTTGTTACCAAAGAAGAACTGCTGACCTACCTTAAATGAGCAAAATCACAGACCCTTCCAACTCTACGCTCCTGTGTCCGTGAGAACCTGCCGCCGTGGGCTCATAGGACAGAGGTTCCCACACACCTCCTGACTCAAGCCTGCGCTCCTAACACAACAGACCTTCAGGATAACAGAAAAATGGGTCTACGATGCCCTCACCTAATAACCGTCCTGATAAACTTCACATATAATAATTTAGAATGCTTTAAAGTAGTCTGGAAGCACTCATTCATTTGTATACATTGTGTAACAACAGTTGTTCTATTTGTCAATTGGCTTTGAACTATACATCTATGTTTAGGGGCCAAAATGACTGTACCATATGTCTACTTTAAATGACTAGAATTGCATGAATAAAATTAAATGATAAGGGATGAAGCTTAAAGACTAAAGATAATTTTCACATAAAAATATTTTTCCAAAGGCAGCTGCACATATCTGAATAACTTTTAGAATCTGCATAGCATATGACTTACAAAATTAGCTCAGTAATTAACTTAGCCAAAAAAATTTAAAGCACACTGAAAACAATGTTCATTTTTGGAGAACTACAACAAGTACAAATCTGTTTTTTAAACCACAGAACATGTTTCTGAACCAAGATTTTTTTTTTTAATGGAATGCAATTTTCAATTGATTTTTTGGATCTAGATAGACAGATTATACACAGTATTTTCAAAAGTGAAAAATGAAAATAATAAATAAAGAAGAACTTAAAGCCAAGGGAGTTACTCTGTTTGTGTTAATACTTGTTTAAATGAGGGATTTTATTTTTTAAGTTTTGGAAAGATAAGATTAACCTTAGAAACTGCTAGAAAAAAAAATCAGCTCTGGAATCGTTGCCGCCCCTCCCATTACAGCACAGACCTGACATTTGATGTGGAATCTAGAGCCTGCTGAGCAGCCTGGATCCGCACAGACTCATCACGCAGACTTATTTTTGCCGCATGACTGCATTTTGATAGGGAAAGCTCCATTCTAAGTGCCAATTTCAATGAAAATAACAACTGTCCCCAGCTGACAACACACAGGTTTTTTTGCCAAGAGTTTTTCCAGAAGCTTCTGCAGCTGGAGCTGTTCCAGGGCTCCAACACCAGCACACGGTGTTAAGGGCAGGATACCTGTACCCTCGCATCAGAATTACTCTTACGAGTCGGTATCGTTCTGGAATGGCCTTCTCACCACGTATTCCTGCCTACGTGCAAGCGCTGGGGAGAAGTACTGTCTTAACGAGCGTAGCCACCTGGCCTGGACACCAAGCCTCCGAGCAGTGACCGTGCGCAGCCGACCGTGGGCACACGAGCCTCCGCCCAGGCCACGTGCAGGAGGGCTCGCTGCTCATCAGTCCTCAGACTTTTGTGCAGCTGAACACCTGCACGGGAAGGGAATGCACGTCGGGGGCCCTGGGACGCAGCACGGAGACTCCAGCACAGCCACCCTGCTCCCTGGAGACGCACGCACTCGCCACTGCGCCGCTACCTTTGTACCAGTTATACAGCGGCTCCAGCGTCTTCCTGTCCACGGAGGTTCGCATGGAGTCCTTGTGGAACGAGGCCGGGTTCTGGAAGAAGCTGTCCGTGGCGTGTCCAGTTTCCACTCACTTTGGGCTGAGCACCGGATGACAGTTCTCTCACCAGCCTGAGTGAATGCCATGAGCTGGAGGACCTCGTCCTTCTGAGATGATTTAAGCTTATGCTGTGGGAAGCAAAAGAAGCAGGAAAGCCAATGAGGCCAGTCCAGAGAGCTGTTTCAGCTCTATCACTAACTCCTATATTGTAACTGGACTTAACTTTTCCTTGGGTGACCGGACTTCACTTCAGAATTACAGGAAGACAAAGCCTTGTTTTCCATCAGTTAAAAAGACTGCACAGCCTTCTGAAAATTCAAACGACAGCATCTACACAGTAACAAATATACAAAGTCTCATCTCCCCCGAATTAGAAGAATCAATGTTTTATACAAAATACATTTTGATCTCTATCTGGTTCACTTTGCAAGAAGTAGGATGTTAATTTTTTTCTAAGTCTCAGTGAAATCCCTCTTTATAACACATAGGTACCCTCTGGTGAAATGCGGCTAACCCGAGGCCTGACCACATCACCACAGCCCACCTGTGGGTCCTCCTTGGCTTCAATTAATTTCAGGCCCTAATGGCCAGGAGGAGGACCTCATGGTTGGAAACATCATTATTTTAAGTTTTTCTCTGTTTAAAATTAGCAGAACACTCATGAAAACAAACACACATAACAAAGAATTGTGTGAAAAATAACTTATACAAGTTCCAGAAGCAGGTGCAAAAAGCCTGCTATGGTTAAATGAAGATGATACTAATAATGAGAATGTCTGTGTACATGAGACAGAAATAAGACGGAAAGACAGGGCAGAGGCTGTCGGTAGGTAGTAAATAACAAAACCGCCATGTAACAGTACTATATATAGCATATAGTGAAACCGAATAGCATTTTCATGTTTCCAGGTATCGGATGGTTAAGGTTTTATTTATCTAAGGTAGCCTGATGAAAACAACAGCAGAAATGACAGTCATTCATTAATTTCTGTAAATCAAAACAGACTCTGTAGTCTACTGGGTGCTAATACTTTAAAAGACACTTTACACAATAATATGATAAGGGGAAAAGTTTTACTTAAAATGATTTATACTCAGTCTTGTTCAAAAAAAAGATGAGTTTATAGAAGCACACAGAATAAATTATAATTTACAGAAATATGTAACTGGGAAACAAACTGTAGATGAGGAAATCAAGCAGAGGAAATAAGGAAAAAGAAAGCCAGAGATAAGACACAGACACGCACCCCATATATATGAGTTGAAAGTGAGCTGAAAATTAGGCTCTGAGCTTCTCAGTGGCCAACGTAAAGAAGAAAAGAGGATTAGTTAGGAAAATCTATTTTCATAAGATTTAAAGACCCACCAGTGGCCCAGTGGCCCCTCCTGGAGCTGAGACTGGAAGGAATTGGAGACATGAAATGTCCCCTTTGTACCAGACCAGCTCCTCACCAAATGCCACCAGTGAACAGCAGAGCAAGCTTGCAACGCTTTTTGCTAAGGCCTCCCTCAGTGCCTGCTGGTGCCAGAAGAGCAGGGGACAACTGAGCAGAAGTTACGCCACTGCAGTCCACACACACTGCTCTCCAAGTGTGGCTGGGGACACCGGGGGCCTAAGACCTTTCAGGGGTTCCACGGTCACAAGAGTATCTCCAAGTGCCTCCAGCCGTTACCCACTTTCTCACTCTCACTGGGGTATAGCAGAGGCTTCCAGAGGCTGCCTGACTGGCGACATCACAACAGACTGAACACAGAAGACTGGAGAACCTAACTTTGATTAAAGATGTTTGCAAAAATGTAATGTGAATATATAACGGGTTTACTATTGTTATTTTTAAACACAGATATTTTTAAACTTCCCATTTTAATTTCTAATATGGTAAATACCAATGGCTACAATCCCAATAATTTTTTAAAGTGTATAGGGGGGCTGGGACTTAGAAGTTTGAGAAACACTGATCTAGAGTAACCCAGGGAATTAATATTTTGGCTACTTAGAACAATGACTGTTGATCATTTGGGGTCCTGGGTCCCTTCTGGAATCTGATGACAGCATGGATCCTTTCTCCTGGAAAACGTATGCGGTACACACGTGGGCATATGGTTTGGCACAGAAATTCAGGGTTTTCATGGACCTTTTAGGACCATCCTGGCTTCTCAGAGGCTGGGGGAAGGTGGAACTCGGGCTAAGAACCCCGGAGCTAGGTCAGGACGTGCTGGTCTCTGCCGCAGTGAGAGCACCGCGCAGACAGGTGGGCGAACTGTGCTCCACGCGGCTGCATTTACAAACCCGCAGCTACCCAGCGACTGCAGCCTACAGTCCGGGTTCCAGGGGCACACATAGAGTGCATATTCTCTACCTTATTTCCTGAAATTGAGCCTTTGAGAAAAACCAAAGAGTTCAAGGTTCTGTTCTCTGGGAAGATTAAATTTTGCTCAGTGCGGTCAGATGCCAACGGCTTTGACAGTAAACTGACAAAAGACAATGCTGGCATCTTTGATGACACCGATGGCTTCCCCAAGGGAGGTGGGCAAAGCCAAGGCTTACCTCAGACACCTTAAGACAGTGACAGGTGTTCAACCCCAAAATGGTGCACCGTTCAGAAGACCCATGACATGTTCACTACGGAAACTGCGATCAATGCTAGATTTTAACATTCTGTCAGGCTTGTGAAGGCAGAATGCGGTACATACATACAATGAAATTCATGGAGTACTGATATATGCTACGATGTGGGTGGGCCTCGAAAACATCATGCTGAGCAAAGGAAGTCGGACACAAACGGTCACACGCTGTGAGGTTCCATTCGCGTGAAACGTGCAGCACAGGCAAGTCCTGAGACGGAGGGCGGGCGGTGTGGCCAGGGGCTGGGGGAGGGAGGCACTGCTGACAGGTGTGGGCCTTCCTTCGGGGGATGAAAGTGTTCTGGAACTAGACACAGGCAGCGGTAGCACAACGCGGTGAAGGTCCTACGCACCACTGGACTGTACACTTCGAAAGAGTTAACTTTATGTTACATGATTCCACCTCAAAAGAATCCACCTTAGCACCCTGAGACTCTCCAAGATGAGCCAACAGAGCAATGGTTGCTCAGGTGACAACCATGCAGTCGGCAGATCCCCGCCAAGGAGACGCCGCCCAGCATCTGGAGGACAGGACGAGGTCCCATCTCGAGGTCCCTCTCCTGACAGCAGCCTCCCGCAGCCCCTCCTAAACCGCGACCAAGCGGCCACACGACAGTATAACGGGGAGCGCTTTCCGGGAAGCCTAGGAGGAGGGAGGCAGGAGGAGCACGTGGCCCCAGGCCACCCAGAGCGCTCTGAATTGTCACCGCGTGAGTTACAAAGTGGGGGAAGTGCAGATGATCAATCTATTCCAGGTGGTAGGACCTGTCTATCCCAAGACAGATCCTACCCCCGGAACCGCGAAGTGGCACAAGGTGCCGGTTCTGCATGAGCGACCGCAGCCGTGGGTCCAAGCCGAGCCCAGAGCAGGTCTCTGGCCAGGATGAAAGGGGAGGGGATGGTCAGTAAGGTTCCAATGATTCAATGTTACCCCTACGGTGATTAGAACAGCAACCAAGAGCTAAATCTAAAGACTATGTGTGCTTCATGCCCAAAAGGGACAAAGAGCTGCAAGTTGCAATTTGTAAAAAAAGGGACCCATGGGCTTCCCTGGTGGCGCAGTGCTTGAGAGTCCGCCTGCCGATGCAGGGGACGCGGGTTCGTGCCCCGGTCCGGGAAGATCCCACATGCCGCGGAGCGGCTGGGCCCGTGAGCCATGGCCGCTGAGCCTGCGCGTCCGGAGCCTGTGCTCCCCAACGGGAGAGGCCACAGAAGAGAGAGACCCCCAGAAAAAAAAAAAAAAAAAAAAAAAAAAAAATCTGGACAATCCAGGAAAAACATCAGATAAATTCTCTACCTCTGGAAAAAGTCTCAAACATTTTAATTGTGACCTTGTAAAAAATCACCCATGTGATCTGGGCACCAAAACTGACCACATACAAAATGAAAATGTTATCCTTAAAATGCCCTTCCAGAGACACTGAATACAACAAAATCTCCTCTTAGGGTCAACTTACAAGGGGCTGCCAGGGCAACCACACTGACCCAGTTCGTGCCATCAGTTCAGTCGCCTTGACGGTTTCAGGTACAGCAGGCGGGGACGACCTTCTCGAGCCCTCACGTTCCTCTGACCGGCGCTTCTCCATCTGCTTTCTTGCCTGCTCTTCCCACCCAGAAGGTTGGTTCTCACGCCTCCCCTCTTCCTGGCACATTCCTCCAGGACCTTCTCTCTCCGGCCTGAAAGCCTCTCCCCGGCCTCCCACTACCACGAGGACAAAGGCTGCCATTCCTCCCTGTGACCAGATGAGTGCCCATCACAGCCTCCCGCCGCGGCTGCTCCCTGGCTCTCTGCGCTCCGCGGGGCCCTCTTCCCATTCCTGTCCCTCCCACCCCACACGTGCGCCGCGCACATCTGGCTGCCCCACTCCCACTCATTCTCGAGAGTTCAGCTCAGCTCACACCGTGCTGCCGCGGTCAAGCCTTCACTGGCTGGGCATCTGACACCCCACACCCCACCCTGCGGGTGCCTGGAACCGGTGCCTCTCCCTGGCACTTATCCCAGCTATAATAATGTAGCTGCGTGTTCAGTGCCCGTCTCTCCTGCTGGGACATCGTCTCCATCAGTACCAAACCCACGTCTGCTTGCTCAGCGTCGAAGCCCCGGCACCTTGCACACCACCTCGCTTGCACGCAGAAGCCACTGAATGTACTGAATGAACACTGAAACCCTTCAACTACCATGGTTTCCACGACGTTTCAAAGTAACTGTACGTTTCCAGAAAGCCCGCCCTCTCCTGGTCTCCAGATCTACGTCTCTAACCAACTAGATCCCGCTATCTCCCCCTCCTCACAGCATCATCTTTCCGTACAAACCTGCGCTTCCTTCTACAATCCCTAGTTTGGTCAATACCATGACCGTCTGCTCAGACGCCCCAGCCAGGCCTGCACAGCCCTTCCTCTCCTTTTCCTCCTTTTCTGAACGGCTCTGTGAAATTCCCCACCCTTCCCTCCTCTCATGCCCCTTGTTCCTACCGACAGTCTTCGTTCAAGTCTTCTCTTCTTACCGAGCTATTACCGCCGCTTCCTAGCTGGCCTCCCCGACCCGCAGTCCTGACCCCCTCCCATCCAAGTCCTGTTCTCCGGACAAAAGGCGATCGCTTCGCACACACCCCTCCTTCTCAAAGACCTTCCAGGCTCCCGCTCTCTCCTGGGAGACTCTGCCCTCCTCGGCGGGGAACACGAGACCCTGCTCGGGAGCCCTGCCATTCTCGACCCTGAAGTCCACGTTCCGGCCGCTCTGAACCACCGGCAAGGCTCAGGCGCGATCCGGTCCACCGCATCTCCCGGCAGGACGCCCGCCTGCCCGGAACGTCCTCCCTCCGGGGTCACCCGGCTGCTCGCGCTCCCGAGGAGGCAGTGCTCGGAGTCCCCGGCCCGCTCTGTGCCTCCGTCTCGTCAAGCAGCACCGCCGCACTTGGGTCACCGGTCCGGTCCCACCTGCGTGCTCCCCGCCGCGCTTAAGGACTCCGCGCCCGGCCCTGGGCCCCGACCTCCAGTCCCCGACCCACGACCTCCGACCCCAACCCTCGGCCCCAGCAGCGCCTCGCCGCCCCCCAGCCCCGGATGCCCGGGAGCAGCCGAGAGGAAGGCGAGCCGCGGGCCACCTACCATACTCCCCGCGCTCCCCAGCTTGTCGCCGGCCCTGGCCGTCTGCGCAGGCGCCCCGGCCCGGCCGCGCCATCCCCGTCCCTGTCCTCAGCCCCCGGGACACCCGCCCAGGGAGGCAGCAACAGGTCAGGCCGGGGCGGCGGGACTCCAATTCCCGGCGTGCACTGCGCCGCCCGGGGCCGCCGGGATGCAGGCCCCGCGGCGCCTCCGACTCCCGGCGTGCACCGCGCCGCCCTGGGGTGGACGGAACCCACACCCCGCCTCCTTAAAGGGGCCGCGACTGCCTTTGAGGCGCGTCGGCTCAGAGGGCGTTCGAGAGAGCACTGCGGGCCTCCTGGGCCCTCCCCGTGCCCGACCTCGTCCCCGTCCTCGTCCCCGCCCCGGGGGCGGCCCCGCCTCCCGGAAAGGGATGCGGATAAGCCGGATAAGGTCTTCCCCTCTGGAAAGCCGGGCCCGGGACGCGGCGCGGCCGGAACGTCTAGGTGAGCGTTCGGCGCGGGGCCCCGGGTCCGGCCTGAAGTGCGGCCCTCGGGGCTTCCCTCTCCTCTCCTCCCTTCTCCTGGGGTCTCCCCTTCCCGTGGGTGTTAGTTCTTCTCCTCCCCGGGGTCTGGTCTCCCCTCGGGGTCTTTCCTCCCAAGGTCTACTCTTCCTGGGGGTTCCTTCTCCCCCTCCCCGGGAGTCTGGTCTCCCATCCCCCTCCCGGGTCTCCCCTCTCCGGGGGTCTCCCCTTCCCGAGGATGTCTTCTCCCCCTCCCTGGGGGGCGGTGTCTGGTCTCTCCTTCCTCTCCCTAGAGGTCTCCCCTCTTCCTTTCCAGGGGTCTCTCCGCCTTCTCCCGAGGTTCCGTCCTCTCGGCCTCACTCAGCCCCCGCCCGCTCTCTCCTCCTCCGGGCTTTGCGCCGAGAGCGGTGCTGCACCTGAGCACCCTTTACCGGACCCCGCACCTGGCGGCGGCCCCGGGGTTGCGGGGAGGGCCAATGGGGGTGCGGGCGGGAGCTGGCGAGGCTTCAGACACCGCGGGCCACTCGGTTGGACAGTCTACGCTCTCCCGGTGCCTGATCCTCGGGTCAGATCTGCGGAGGAGCCGCCGCTCCACGAGCCCCTGGGGGTCCTGGCTCTGCGAGCCGCTCCCTGGTTCCCGTCGGACCTCACCCGTGGTCCCCGTTCACGGTGTCGTCCAGGTGTCAGGCGGCCCCGCCAGGTTCCAGGTCCCCTGGGAAAAGGACGCACGACGTGAGCCCCGAGTTTCCGCGTGATTCGGGGACAGCCCGTCATCCAGCTCCGGGGAGCCGCTACGAGGAGGGGGGCCTCGTGGAGGGTCGCTGCCTGTCACGGGGACAAGTATCCCGTGAATGACTCTAGCGCTTTCCTAAGGGTGGGAAGATGCAAGGATCCGGTCTGTAAATGTTGTTCCTAAAGTGTAATCGTCGAAGGGCCTGTTTTCCCAAAGCGCCAGGCCTCATTCCGTTCTGGGTCTGCGCTCCCCTCGGGCTGCGCTGTGTGCGCCCGGCACCCCATGGCTGGCCGGGGGAACCGGATGGCGAATAACGTAACTGAGTTCACAGCCTTTTTATACGTTTTTCTAATCATTTTTTCGGCCAGAGCGGCATACTGTTTTACTGGTCCCAAATTTCTTTTATAATATAAATTTTTGAAAAGACATTGTCTCAGTGATTGGATTATTAACGGAATACTGGGTTTTTGTACAGTTTAATTAACATTAAATACTTTAAAACTTTTTATTGTCCGTAAGAATTTTCTTCTTTCCTTCCTCTCCCCCTTTTTTTAACTCATTCTCCCATTTTACTGATTAGAAGTGAACCATAAATTGTATTGTAAGTGCTTATAAGTGCTTTATCTTTTAAGAAATAGACTTTACGTCATCTAACTTGTTAAAGTGTAAAATAGGCTTTTCAGGTAAACTCCTCCACAGATTACATTGAGGTAGATCGCTTCCACTGGGGGTTTCTTTGCTTCCTTGGATCTTTCCACAAGTTCCCCCCTTTGTTTCCCGTTTTGTGCCTGACCTGGAAGTTCTGGTGGCATCAGGAAGAGATACTGCAAACAACCCTCCTGCTTTCCTTTTTCCAGAGGCCCTGCACCCGCTAACCCTGATCCTGCCCCATCCAAGCGGCTCGCTCTGGAATTCCTGCCTGGAGCTCCCATACCAGGTCAGCCACCCTCCCCCCTTTAGGGTCTGGGTTCAGCTGGGTAGACGGCCGGCCCCTAGGGTGGGCTGTCCCGGGAGCTGTGTCCCACCTGGTCCTGATGGCCTCTGCCCACAGACAGGCTGCTGTCAATAAACCACACTGACTTTGAGCAGTTGGACCTGCTAAAACTGAGGTGGTGGGTCTGGAAGGTCCTGAGGAAGAGAGACGGAGGGACCTCTGGCTACACGTGTGCAGGAGGCTGGGGGGCAGGGCTGCCAGGTTCTCGCATTTTATTTTAGCCTAGTGTGTAAAGTAGAAAAACAGGGACGCTGCCTCCCCGCCCCCCATTCTCCGGAGGGCCTCCAGCAATGGTCTAGGGCTCTGTGGTCCAGCAGCGGGTGTCCCAGGAGAGTGCTGCACACCCTGCAGTCTTGATAGAACTCAGAGTGGAGGCGAGAGAGAAATCTTAACCTGGTGACTTTGCTCTGAAAAAACCTGGTCTTGGACTTTATTTTTACATTTTTTTTTGGCTGTGTTGAGTCTTTGCTGCTGTGCTGCTGCGCACGAGCTTTCTCTAGTTGCAGCGAGCGGGGGCTACTCTTCGTTGCGATGTGCGGGCTTCTCATCGCGGTGGCTTCTCTTGCTGTGGAGCATGGGCTCTAGGCGCGCAGGCTTTGGTAGTTGTGGCTCATGGGCTTAGTTGCTCCGCAGCATGTGGGATCTTCCTGGGCCAGGGCTCAAACCTGTGTCCCCTGCATTGGCAGGCAGATTCTTAACCACTGCGCCACCAGGGAAGCCCCAGATCTTGGACTTTTTATGTAAAATTATTGGAAGTTTCTTTGTTTTTGAGTAGGCTTAATAATGAACCCATTTGCCTTTTTATTCTGAATCATTTATTACAAATTTTTTTTCTTAATCAAATAATCTCATCGATTTTAAAGTTAGTTTTGGGATTCCTGTTCTGCCTTTATAAAAACAAGCAAAACCTCCTAGAAATTTGGCAAAGTTGGGGAGATATATTTTAATTAATATTGGAATATGTATAAATAGAAAGTTGTAGGAGGGAAGGTTTGTGCTCAAAGTATTGATTTTTGCTATCACACTAAATGAAAAGTAACCTTGGGTTTCACTTTAGTTGAGTCATACTGAAAACCTTTGGTTTTAGGACGTTTCCTACTTTAAAATATTAAAATGTCATAGGCATGTTTGCCATGCTCTGCAGTGTAAACGGTGCACATTACACACAATAAGGGTGTAGTGGGAAACAGGAAGCACTTATATAGAGTTTTAAAAACTTTGAGTTGATTATAGAGTCACATAAAGTTTTAAAAAATAATACAGAGAATTCCTATAGAATATACATAGAAAATCCTGAAGATGCCACCAGAAAACTACTAGAACTTATCAATGAATTTGGTAAGGTTGCAGGATACAAAATTAATGCACACAAATCTCTGGCATTCCTATACACTAACAATGAAAAATCAGAAAGAGAAATTAAGGAAACAATCCCATTTACCATCGCAACAAAAAGAATAAAATACCTAGGAATAAACCTACCTAAGGAGATAAAAGACCTGTACTCAGAAAACTTACACTGATGAAAGAAATCAAAGATGACATAAACAGATGGAGAAATATACAATCATTATTGTGAAAATGACTATGCTACCCAAAGCAATATACAGATTCAATGCAATCCCTGTCAAATTACCAATGGCATTCTTTATAGAATTACAACAAAAAATTTTACAATTCGTATGGAAACACAAAAGACCCCAAATAGCCAAATCAATCTTGAGAAAAAAATAGAGCTGGAAGAATCAGGCTCGCTGACTTCAGGCTATACTACAAAGCTACAGTAATCAAGACAGTGTGGTATTGGCACAAAAACAGAAATATAGATCAATGGTAGAGGATAGAAAGCCCAGAGATAAACCCACCACATATGGTCATCTAATCTATGACAAAGGAGGCAAGAACATACAATGGAGAAAGACAGCCTCTCCAATAAGTGGTGCTGGGAAAACTGGACAGCTACCTGTGAAAGAATGAAATTAGAACACTACCTAACACCATACAGAAAAATAAACTCAAAATGGATTAAAGACCTAAATGTTAAGACCGGACACTATAAAACTCTTAGAGGAAGACATAAGGAAAACACTCTGACATAAACCACAGCAAGATCTTTTTTGACCCACCTTCTAGAGTAATGAAAATAAAAACGAGAATAAACAAATGGGACCTAATGAAACTTAAAAGCTTTTGCACAGCAAACCATAAACAAGATGGAAAGACAACCCTCAGAATGGGAGAAAATATTTGCAAATGAAGCAACGAACAAAGGATTAATCTCCAAAATATACAAAGAGCTCATGGAGCTCAATATCAAAAAAACAAACAACCCAATTAAAAAATGGGCAGAAGACCTAAATAGACATTTCACCAAAGAAGACATACAGATGGCCAAGAGACACATAAAAAGATGCTCAACATCACTAATCATTAGAGAAACGCAAATCAAAACTACAATGAGGTATCACCTCACACTGGTCAGAATGGCCATCATCAAAAAATCTGCAAACAATAAATGCTGGAGAGGGTGTGGAGAAAAGGGAACCCTCTTGCACTGTTTCTGGGAATGTAAATTGATACAGCCACTATGGAGAACAGTATGGAGGGTCCTTAAAAAACTAAAAATAGACTTACCATATGACCTAGCAATCCCACTACTGGGCATATACCCTGAGAAAACCATAATTCAAAAAGAGTCATGTAGGGCTTCCCTGGTGGTGCAGTGGTTGAGAGTCTGCCTGCCGATGCAGGGGATACGGGTTTGAGCCCTGGTCCGGGAAGATCCCACATGCCGCAGAGAGGCTAGGCCTGTGAGCCGTGGTCGCTGAGCCTGTGCGTCCGGAGCCTGTGCTCCGCAGCGGGAGAGGCCACAACAGTGAGAGGCCCGCGTACCGCAAAAAAAAAAAAAAAAAAAAAAAGTCATGTACCACAGTATTCATTGGAGCACTATTTGCAATAGCCAGGACACGGGAGCAACCTAAATGTCAAATGATAGATGACTGGATAAAGAAGATGTGGCACATGTATACAATGGAATATAACTCAGCCATAAGAAGGAAAGAAATTGGGTCATTTTGAGAGATGTGGATGGACCTAGAGTCTGTCATACAGAGTGAAGCAAGCCAGAAAGAGAAAAACAAGTATCGTATATTAATGCAGATATGTGGAATCTAGTAAAATGGTACAGATGAACCTATTTGCAGGGCAGGAATAGAGATGTAGAGAACGGACATGTGGACACAGCGGGAGAAGGGGAGGGTGGGACGAATTGGGAGATTAGGTTTGACATAAATACACTACCATGTATGAAATAGACAGCTAGTGGGAACCTGCTATAAAGCACAGGGAGCTCAGTGCGGTGTCTGTGATGACCTAGAAGGGTGGGATGGTGGGGGTGGGAGGGACGTCCAAGGTAGGGGGATATAGGTATACACATGGCTGGTTCACTTCATCGTGCAGCACAAAGTAACACAACGCTGTAAAGCAACTATACTGCAATAATTAAATAAAAGATAAATTCAGAAAATACAGAGAAATCCTATAGACCCTTCAGCCAGTATCCCCAGCGGGAGCTCTTGCAAAACTGTATCCTAAGCAGGAGCTGGGAGAGATACAGCCCACTGCCCGATCCGGGTGCACCAGGGCACACGCACGCACTCGTGTGTGTGTAGATCTGTGTGATTCTGTCACACGTGCACACACGTGTGGCCACCACCACTGTCAGGGCACAGAACACGTCCACCCCACAGGGTCCCTCCTGCTGCCTTGTTACGTCCACAGCCATCGCCTCCCCCTTTCCTGGGCCCTGACCCCCACTGTCCCTTCCCCGTCTCTGCAGTTTGTCATCTTAAGAAAGTTGTGTAGGGAGTTCCTGGTGGCCTAGTGGTTAGGATTCCAGACTCTCACTGCCAGGGCCCAGGTTCAGTCCCTGGTCTGGGAACTGAGATCCCACAAGCCTCGCGGCCAAAAAAAAGAAGAAGAAAGAAAAGAAGTTGTGTAAATGGCATCATGCGTGAGCATGGCAGGCTCTCCTCGGCCTTGAGGTCACCTGGGTTACTGCGTCAGTCGTTCAAGATGTGGAAATTTTAAGAATTCATTATAAAACCACAACAAATCCAGAGTGTCTTTTTTTATAATTAAGAATAACAATAACAAAATAACACTATTTACTGAAAAAAACCATGTTACAGTTTAGTAGTCTGTAGGATTTGGTAGCCGAGTTTGAAGGTAAAATGAGGTGTTTATGAAAAAGGAGTGGTTCATATCTTAAGGGCTGTAAATAACTTCATGTTCATGGTAAAAGCTCTTTTCAGTGGAAGTATTAGTGTGACTGCAGCTAAAATTCTCAGGTTTTTCATAAAAGTGAATAGCTGTCTGCGGGGTTTCGGGGAGAGGGATAGCTAACTTCAGGAGCTTGTCTGAGGGAGGGGCCCGAGATGGACGGAGGGGTGTTACGTGCCAGCTGCGCAGCAGTTTATCTTCCTGAAGTTTGAAATCTGTAGAAGAATCACTTTCTGAGATCTTTTGGAGGAAATGTGCATGTCTAGGTCTGTGCAGTTAACAAAGCACCTGCAATTTGTGTCTTGGTTCTGAAGAATACTAAATGTGTGCGTGTCGGAAGTAGTGCTTGAATTCTTTCTTTCCCTTGAAACAGTAGGAGCTTAGCAACTGAGTCAATAAAATAACAGACCAGTGATATTGCCGGCTGTCTGTGGGATCAGCGGTTTGTTTGCTTAAGGTGGTAACGTTTACTTAAGGTTGTATTAAAACTGTGCCAGTGAACTCAGTAACTCAGCCCTACTCGATTATCCCACCTCATTAGGAAGCGCGCTGTCCAGCGTCCGTGGATCCTCTGGGAGATGCTGGGACCCAGAGTATCTAAACAAGTATTGAAATCGGACAGTTTCCTGACTTTTTACCCAGAATAGTGAGCCGGTGTGCAGTCTGTAATGGGTGACTTCTGATTGTCATTCTGAACACGGTGGCTCTCCTGCCCTCAGCGGTCGCCTCTGCAGGGTCTGCTGAGGTGCGTGGAGCAGTCGGCCCCCCAGACCGCCGGCTGGGGCTCTTTGCTGCGTTCCCATGTGTGTCTCTGTAAGCTCTGTCGGTGTCCACTTTCTGTTGGCTGTCATTCCTTGGTTTGGTCAGCATTCTATCTCTAGAAGTGCGCACTCTTATTTTTGCTAATCTACTTTACCTGGGAAACCAGATTAAACTCATTAGAATTGGGATTACCAGTGAAATGAAAACATATATATTCTAGAATAACATGATTCCTTGGAAACGGTGGGTTTTGTTTTGTTTCGTTTTCTTTTTGGCATAAGGACTTGGGCCTAGTTGCCAGGCTCAGTGGATGTATTTCAGGGTGCGTCTTACTGGGCTCTCCTGCATTTGTCACCTCTTCCATCTTTGTTCTCTATCTTCCTGCCTCCGAGGTCATTCTTTCTTGGTGACCCTGCTGACCCGGCCTCCATCTGCGCCTGGATCAGCCCTCCTCTGGGCGACACAGCTGCAGCTCCCCCCGCTGCTGGGGCCGGGGTCCTGTCTGCGCCCTGCTGCCAGGATGAGCTCCCAGGCGCTGCTTGAAGTCTTCCTTAAGGGAGAAGAGGAGGAACCTGAATCTGCAGGATAGAAAGCGTCTGAGTGTGGTTGTAGTTTGTAATTTTTTTTCTCTCCTTGACATCTTGTTAGCACGTAAAGGTAGCCTGACATTGGAAATTTGACGGAATTCCAGGTGACTCAGGAAAGCACACGTACGGCCCAGCCAGCTCGGCTCCATTTCCCAGCCCCTCGGACCTGGTTCCAGGGCCCCTCATGTGTGATGGGGGAAGCAGGTGGTGTTTCCTGGCCTTTGATATGTGAACCGTATGAAATGGGATTGGTTTTTGTCTTTTGTACGTGGTAGATTTAGTAGGTATATGAGGCTGAGTTTCACTTTAAAAAGTTGCTTTTAAATTCAGATGTAATCTTTAATCTCAGCTCTTCATCAGGCACCATACTTTAAATTCAGTGTTTGATTGTGATCTAAGTGCAGCAGATAGTTCAGATGTTGTTCTACGAAAAATAACATTTTCCTCGGAAAAGTGATAGTTTTTAGTAATTATTTAAAACTTTAATCTCCATAGCAATGAGTCATCGTTCAACTATATGTGTCAATACATCTCTCTTTCAGCTGAAAATGCGTATCTCAAAGGCAAGCCCGACTTAGCAGGAGTCTTTGGCCTGCCTTGCCCTGTCCCTGAAGTCGGATCATGAAGGTGCTGGGGAGAAGCCACCTGTGGGTGTGGCTCCCGTTCCTTCACCTGCTGGCCAGTGGCGCGGAGCACGAGGAAGCGGTGAGACACGCCATCGAGTTGCACCGGCGCCAAGGGGCGGCCGTCACCCAGAGGAGACAGTGGGTCCTGGACGGTTGCAGAAAGCTCTCCGGGCTTCTTCGCCAAAAGGCTGTGGTTCTTAACAAACTGAAAAGTGCAGTCAGAGCAGTGGAAAAAGACGCCAGCCTTTCGGATGAAGAGAAGCTGTTTCAGGTGCACATGTTTGAAATTTTCCAGAAAGAGCTGAATGAAAGTGAAAACTCAGTCTTCCAGGCCGTCCATGGACTCCAGAGAGCCCTGCAGGGCGACTACAGGGACGTGGCCAACGTGAAGGAGAGCAGCAGGCAGCGCCTGGAGGCCCTGCGGAAGGCAGCCATCAAGGTGGGTCCAAGGCGGGGCGGGGCGCCCGCGGAGGGGGCTCCGATCTGACCCAGCAGGCGCAGGAGAGCCGCTCCCTTGGCGCAGTCACTTAGCAGAGCCACCTTTGAGCACTTCTAGGGGTCTCTCATGCTTTCTCCATGGTGGAGATCCCTGGGTATTGAAAAGAGTTACTCATGTTCCCCCAGTGAACTGACGTGGAAATAAGCCCATTGTAATTGCCGTCAGGGTTTTGAGCTTCTGATAAGAATCACTTTTAGTGTGAAGGCTGACTTTCTTCAAGGCCCACATACTGAAAACAAAAATATTAAAGGTAGTTTTAAACAAATGTATACATTTGAATTAAGGATTTTGATGAAGGATACTTTTATTTTATTTTTAAATTTTTATTATTTTTTAAATAAATTTATTTTTGTTTTTTGGCTGCGTTGGGTCTTTGTTGCTGCGCACAGGCTTTCTCTAGTTGCGGCGAGCTGGGACTACTCTTTGTTGCGGTGCGCGGGCTTCTCGTTGCAGTGGTTTCTCTTGTTGTGGAGCACGGGCTCTAGGTGCACAGACTTTAGTAGATGCGGCGCGTGGGCTCAGTAGTTGTGGCTTGCCAGCTCTAGAGCACAGCCTCAGTAGCTGTGGCGCACGGGCTTAGCTGCTCCGCGGTATGTGGGATCTTCCCGGACCAGGGCTCGAACCTGTGTCTCCTGCATTGGCAGGTAGATTCTTAACCACTGCGCCACCAGGGAAGCCCCTGAAGGATACTTTTTTTTTTTTTTTTTTTTGTGGTACGCAGGCCTCTCGCTGTTGTGGCCTCTCTCGTTGCGGAGCCCAGGCTCCGGACGCGCAGGGTCACCGGCCATGGCTCACGGGCCCAACTGCTCTGTGGCATGTGGGATCTTCCCGGACCGGGGCACGAACCCGTGTTCCCTGCATCGGCAGGCGGACTCTCAACCACTGCGCCACCAGGGAAGCCCTACCCTGAAGGATACTTTTAAAATGATGAGAAGAAACTATTATTACGTCAGATGTGATAGTTATATAATACTTTAAAGCTGTCATTTAAGCCATCTATTGTGTGCCAGGCACTTTAAATATACGAAGTATCATTTTGTCTTCATGGAAAGGCTATGGCAATATTATACAGCTTAAAAAGTAAAGAAGATACAAATTATTAAACTTTGTTTTGCCCAAGTGTGGTAGTTTGGGTAGGAATGTGGTGATGGGGTAAGTAGCCCCCTGGACTTGGGCGTCCTGCCTGTTGTTGGAAACAGACCGCCCCCCCCCAGCGGGATCACCGCCTCACCAGGTCCTTCGCACGGGTGGGACATTAAACTCCTTGGCGTTAAAGAGGGAGTCGCAGGGGTGTCGGTTTGCGGTAGTTTAACGGTAGAACAGAGAACAAACATGAGTTTGAGTGGCGCTGACCCCACCCGCCTGCTCTCTGCTGGTTCTGGCCTCACGGGTCTGAGGCGGTCCAGGCGCTGAGTAGAGGCCGCGAAACGGCCGAGCCTGTGCCAGGGGCCGCCCTCCGCTCGGCGCCCACTCCGCCTCGAACGTGAGCAAGTAGAGGGATTCGATTTGCGATCCCTCGAGCTTGAGCATGGCTGCGTGCTCTACACGTGTTAAACTCTGTTCCCAGCACCACCCGTCAACTGTGCACGTAAGTAGTGCTGTCAGATTCTCCTGGAACGTCTCGCCTTCGTAACTCGGAAGCCCGCTGTATTCCGCTCAGAAATGTCTAGCTAACTAGTCCGGTGCGCGGCGGGGCTTCACGCGCAGTCGGCACGGTGGCTGCAACCGCGTCAGGGTCGGCGGGTGGTTTTCGTGTGAAGAGAGGACCTTCGGCGTCTCTTTACGCTGGTGTGTTACATCCGTGTGTGTAAGTAGCCTTCCTGCGGGGTTTGCAGTGCCCTGGGGCACCTGGCCTCCACTGCCGTGTCCGCAGCGGGCAGGTCGTCCAGGTTTCCTTCGTCATAAACACCACCCTTCATTTCTTGCAAATGAATAGGAAGAGACGGAGTATGTGGAACTTCTGGCAGCAGAAAAACATCAGGCTGAAGTTCTTAAAAGCATGCAGCATCGGAACAAAAGTTTATCCCTCCTGGATGAGATCCTTGAGGACGTGAGGAAGGCGGCAGACCGTCTGGAGAAGGAGACGGAGGAACGCGCTTTCGACGACAATAGGTCGGTGAGTAGCGTCCCCAGCAAGGTCCCCTCCGCCTGCCGAGCCGCTGAGAGGACGTGCACTTGGGACTGTTTGCGGGTGTACGGTAGTGCAGGCTGAAAACGAAGATGAGGCTGACGCACTCGCGTGGCCCTGAAGACGTGCCCCGTTTCCTCTGCTTCCCCCCCGCCCCCGTGTTTGGCCGGCCCCCCCCCCCCCCCCACCGCCCCGACTGCCCCGCGCCCAGCAGCTCGTCTGTCTCCCCGGCCTTGGCTCCGGTCTCAGGAAGCTGGCCCTGGATGGCCACGTTTCAGTGCAGATCTGCCCGGGAGAGGCTCGCTCCTTACAGGAAACCACCTTTGGGTCCCAAGCAGCATGTCAGAGTGAGTCCTGGGACGGACTCAGGAAAGGGTTAGGTAATGACAGCAAACCAGAGCAAGGCTGGAGAGGGAAGGGGAGTGGGGCCCGCAGTGACCCCGGGGCGGGGGAGGCTCTGGGTGTGTGAGGGCCGTGCGCCTGGGGAAAGTGTCCTTGCTTTTACCCCGCTCACCAGGCACTCTGCCCTCCGCGGCTCCGGGCTCTTCCACACTGGCCCTCCCCCGGTCCTCCCGTGGTTCAGTTCACCCTGGCACCGTCCCCGTGGGGCTGGCGCGGACCCCGTGGGGACAGGCCCAGCCCAAGACGGCCCCTACTCCAAATGCCAACGCCCCTCCCTCTGGCGTTTGCTGTGCTGCCCACAGAGCTCAGTCTGTTTGCTAGGTTGGCAGATTGGCACGAAGGACACAGTTCAGACGGAAGAGGTACAGGGGCAGGGTGTGGGGGACGGTGGCCGCTCCCCTGCCCGCTCCGGGCCTGGCGGCCTCCCCCAAACACCTCCACACGTTCAGCAGCCTGGAAGCTCTCGGAAGCTCGTGACTGAAGGGTCTTCACGGAGGCTTCGTTATTTAGGCTCCTGACAAACTCGGCCTTGAGCCCCTCTGCCCTCCCAGAGGCCGTGGTGGAGCTGCGAGTTCAGCCCTCATCACGTGGCCGGCTCCTCTGGTGACCAGACCCTCCCGTGGGTACCCGGGGGCTCTCCACCACCCCTCGCTCACCCGAGGGCAGGTGAGGTCGCGAGGGGCTTATTATGAAGGACAGCACACTCCTTTCACCTCTGCTGCTCTGGAGTGATTCGGGAACCGAGGCCAAAAGACCCAATATCGGGCAAGATGTTTGCATCGCTCTTTATCACTCGGGAAGTCCTGCGGGTTTGGGGGCTGTGGGCAGGAAAGGGGTCTAAGACCAAATATGTGTTTCTTGTTACAGATCACAGCGCCACGCCCTGAATCAGGTAGAGTAGGTGTTTGGAAGTGATAGAAATCCTGAACACTTCCGTCCTTAAATCGCTTTTCAACTGAAAGGCTTTTTCGAACTTTCTAATTTATTGGTCTTCGGTCACACTTGACAGAATGCTGAGAACGTTCCTGTCGTTCTTCTGTGGGGGACTTACTCTCTAACATTTGACCTTGAACTTAAACACGTCTAATTGGTTGTAGTGACACAACACTGTCATTGTTACAGGTCAGAGGGGTCAACTTTGAGGCAGTTCTGCGGGTGGAAGAGGACGAGGCCGGCTCCAAGCAGAACCTCACGAACCGGGAGGTCGAGGAGGACCTGGGCCTGAGCATGCTCATCGACTCCCAGAATAACCAGTACATCCTGACCAAGCCCAGGGACGCCACCATCCCGCGGGCAGACCCCCACCTCATCAAGGTAGCCCGCGCCTCCGCCTGGCACCCACGTCCGCTGCCTAAAAGCTGCCTTCGCTAGAATAGCTCCTTCTCGAGGGGCAGAGAGGGCCTGGCCGTGGTTTCACGTGTGGCCTATGTCGACGTGGGGGCGGCCTGAGGTGCACACCTGCACCCTTGGAGGGAGCCGGTCTAGTGGGGGGACGTGGAATTCTTTAGACTCGAGGTCGACAGGGTTGTGGTTCGGGATCACTGTTTGGACTTGGACCGTGTGAGTGACAGGTGTGAGAGTGAGGGAGTGCAGCCTGCGCAGGGCCACATCAGTCGCTGGGTCTCCAGCTAAACTCCCTGACGCTGGAATCTGTTCAGGAGAAGAGACCGAGGCAAAGAACTCAGCCTTCAAGGTGCTGCCAGGACAGACAGCCGAGGGGCAGGTAGACATGCGGTCCCCACGGGCTTGTCCCGTGTGAGGGGCTGATCCCTGAACTGCTGTCTCAAATCCAGAGGTGAAAGACAGCACGTGTGTGGCCTTCCTTGGTTTTGACCACGTGGGGACTGGGAGGGGCTGAGTCTGAGAACGCGACTTCGTGCCCTTGGCGAGGGGCAGGGTCTCTCCACTGCGCAGTTGCCCCCCTTCCCCTTTGTACGTAGCGTAGCTTCTGGGGCGGCATCTTGAGGCCACGTGAATACCCCATTCCTCGCCACCCTCGGGCCAGCAGCCTTAGCACCGTCCACGAGTCTCTTCTGGACCGGTTCATACCCTGAAGGTTAGGTTGCCTTCGTGCCGTGGGAGCACAGTGGGGAAGGGCTCCCGGACTCGAGCCCTGAGAGGAGTCCTCGTACTCACAGTTCTCAGAGGACTGTCACGGGGTCCACGCGAGACAGACACATCGCTGTAATCGTTAGACGCTGAGGAGCGAGCCTAACCTGCTCCCAGAAGCCTCCCTCGGCTCCCGCACTTGCCTTTCTGCCCCCTCAGTGAGGCCAGGGTACCGTCCCACCCTACCTTCTCCTTTCTCTTGCTGCCTGTTATCTTATGTGTGTGTTTCTTGTCTGTTTATCCTTCTGTTAGGACATCGTCACCATAGGGATGTTGTCCTTACCATGCGGCTGGCTCTGTACAACGATAGGACTGCCGACCATGTTTGGTTACATCATCTGTGGCGTGCTTCTGGGGCCCTCCGGACTCAACAGTATTAAGGTAAGAACAAAATTGAACTGTTTAGTGTCTGTTGAACTTGAATTAATGAAGATAGGAGTTTCTTATAAATCATATCAAAGAAGATGTCTTTTAAAGTTAACTGAGGAATCTCTAAAGTGTAAGAAAGTCATTTTGTTCATTAATGAATGAGCAGCTTGACCAGACAAATGATCCTCTTCGTGTCTTTAAAATTATATTAGTTTTAAAGATTCTATTTGCAGTAATATTATGGGCTGGATTATTCGGACACTGAAAGGAACTAAAAATCCTGGATTAAATGTATTTTTAAAACATGCTTGGAGGGCTTCCCTGGTGGCGCAGTGGTTGAGAGTCCACCTGCCGATGCAGGGGACACGGGTTCGTGCCCCGGTCCAGGAGGATCCCACATGCAGCGGAGTGGCTGGGCCCGTGAGCCATGGCTGCTGAGCCTGCGTGTCTGGAGCCTTCGCTCCACGATGGGAGAGGCCACAACAGTGAGAGGCCCGCGTAAAAAAAAAAAAAACAACATGCTTGGGACTTCCCTGGTGGTGCAGTGGTTAAGAATCCGCCTGCCAAGGCAGGGGACACAGCTTCGAGCCCTGGTCTGGGAAGATCCCGCGTGCTGCGGAGTGACTAAGCCCGCGTGCCACGACTACTGAGCCCGCGTGCCACGACTACTGAGCCCGTGTGCCACGACTACTGAGCCCACGCGCCGCATCTACTGAAGCCTGCGCACCTAGAGCCTGTGCTCCGCAACAAGAGAAGCCACCACAATGAGGAGCCCGTGCACTGCAACGAAGAGTAGCCCCTGCTCGCTGCAACTAGAGAAAGCCCGCGCACAGCGACGAAGACCCAGTGCAGCAAGAAAATAAATAAAAATTAAAAAAACCAAAAAACCAAAAACCACGCTTAACACCCTGAGAAGCTGGTAAAGTAGTGAGCAGTGACCCAGCCTGGCTGTGGGTGTCTGGAGGCCCGGGAGGATGCGGGTGCTGAGGCTGCTCCTGCTGAAGGCTGTTTGCTGAGCAGATTGAGCGGAGCATTGTCCTGTGTTGGTGGCGCTTTTGACGGTGAGGAAAGAGTCCCAAGCCTTGTGGGCTTTAAGCTGGGTCCTTGAAAAGAAAACGCAATGTGGACAAAGGGAAAGAGAGTGCCATGTAGAGGTGTCCTGGTCCCACCCCAGCGGAATCTGCACTGCAGGGTGTGGGAAGGGGCCACGGTGTGCCCCGCCCTGCCTGATGCTTCCCTTTGGGTAGCATGGGAGTCGGTGAAGCGGGGGCTCCACCTGCAGCCTCATCCCCTCCTTGGCGTAGCCCACCCGCACCGGGTCTGGAGGGTCCTGAGGGATCCCCCCGCTGGACAACACGGGGGGGTCGAGGCGGCCTTCACACTGACTGATCCTCACAGCAGACTGTGTTGCCAGGTGAGAAGTACCTGGATGCTGCCGGCTGAGAGCCTGGACCTTGGTGAGGAGATGAGTGTAGCCGCTACCCAGCAGGGTGGCCTCTGGGAAGCCTGGTTTTAATTCAACTTTTTTTTTTTTTAACATCTTTATTGGAGTATAATTGCTTTAAAATGGTGTGTTAGTTGCTGCTGTATAACAAAGTGAATCAGCTATACATATATATATATCCCCGTATCTCTTCCCTCTTGCGTCTCCCTCCCACCCTCCCTATCCCACCCCTCTAGGTGGTCACAAAGCACTGAGCTGATCTCCCTGTGCTATGCGGCTGCTTCCCACTAGCCATCTGTTTTACATTTGGTAGTGTATATATGTCCATGCCACCCTCTCACTTCGTCCCAGCTTACCCTTCCCCCTCCCCGTGTCCTCACGTCCATTCTCTACATCTGCGTCTTTATTCCTCCCCTGCCCCTAGGTTCTTCAGAACCATTCTTTTTTAGATTCCATATATATGTGTTAGCATACGGTATTTGTTTTTCTCTTTCTGACTTACCTCACTCTGTATGACAGACTCTAGGTCCATCCATCTCACTACAAATAACTCAATTTCATTTCTTTTTATGGCTGAGTAATTTTCCATTGTATATATGTGCCACATCTTCTTTATCCATTCGTCTGTCGATGGACACTTAGGTTGCTTCCGTGTCCTGTGTATTGTAAATAGTGCTGAAATGAACATTGTGGTACATGACTCTTTTTCAATTATGGTTTTCTCTCAGGTTTTTAAATAGGTAGTTTTTATGTGATTGAAACAGTATAAAAAGCTGTAGGTGAAAAATCTTTGCCTGACCTTGTCCCATCCCTCCCTTTCCAGAACATTTGCAAACACTGGAAGACACAAATGTATCTTCCTTTTCCTTTTTACTTAACAGCAAAGATAGCTCATAAGCAAAGAATTAAGGCTAAATATCTAGGTAATAGATCCAACTGGATACTATGAATATTGCATTTCTTAATAAATTACCTATACCATGGAAAAATAATATAATTACAGTAGATAAAAATACCAAGATCAGGACTTCCCTGGCGGTCCAGTGGTTACGACTCTGCGCTCCCAATGCAGGGGGCCCAGGTTCCATTCCTGGTCAGGGAACTAGATCTGCATGCCACATGGTGTGGCCAGAAACAAAAAAGATAAACAAAAACAAAACCCCAAACAAACGAGCAAAAATACCAGGATAAAATTACCAAATTAAAAATGCAAGATCATACTAGCCGAAAGTGGGAGTGGTTAATGGAGAGAGTCTAATTGTATGTAATTGTACTTCAGTATTTATCTTTTCATAGTAGGGAGTTAACAGGCTTTCATTTTCTAAGTCAAGAAGTATAGGTTTAAGTATGTTACTTTGAAGTCAGGTTGCAGCCTAATTTTCAAAAGGGAAAATAAATAGTAGCAGTAAGGAAGCATAAAAAGCAGAAGACATAAAAGAATGAGAGCAAACGTTGTTTTATAGCAAATATATGTGGAATAAACTTCTCTATGAAAAGGTACAGGTTTGCAGATGGTGTCAGGAAAAAAAGTACAACAAACGAGATTGAATAAAAATAAAGTGAATAAAAGGTTGAGAGTGAAACGAGGAAATGCGCTGATAGAAAGAGGGCAAATCGGTGGTGTTCACAGCCAGCAGACAGAAGAGGTGCACGGCGGGGCCTGGGTGGCACACCGACACACGAAGGCCTGGACGCTATTTTCACGTGTTCAGGGAATGTTGAAAAAATCAAAAAGTTAGTGGCCGTAATGCAAACCTCAACTGTAAATAATATAAGTAGTACCAAATGTACTGGTATGAACAACACTGTCTGCTGTAGTGCAGGAACGTTGATGGTAAAAAGCAAATGAGGGGCACTGTACGTCAGGACCTGTGGGGAGTGGCCAGATGGGGTCCAGGAGAAAATCCCACACTCAGTCTCACCCAGACCCAAGGAAAGTAAAGCACTCCTGTTAGTTAAGTGTTAAACTCAGGTTTAATGCCTCCCTGTCCCCAGAGGAAGCTAATGGAAGGAAGTAATGGAAGTACCAGTGGAAATTAATGAACTTGAAAGTGGGTGAATTCATGAGTTGTTTCCTAGAAAATAAATAAAAATATTCCTCCGGCTAATCAAGAAAAAGGAAAAAAGGCACTACCGTCAGGAAGTTCAGAGTATCTCAGATATAGAGGAAATTCAGATCGTTGTTTGTTTGTTGTTTTAAATACTGGGCTTTTTGGTGGAGTCCCACTGAGTATGTTAGGACAAGATGGTTCTGTGAAGTACACGTGATATCTTAAATACGTTGTTTTACGGTTTTAAAACTTTCTTGTTTCTCAGTCAGTTGTGCAGGTGGAGACGTTGGGAGAATTTGGCGTGTTCTTTACTCTCTTCCTCGTTGGCTTAGAATTTTCCCCAGAGAAGCTGAGAAAGGTGAGTCCACCAGTGTGCTTGTGTCGTTGCCCCACTGAGATTAACGTGCCCTGCAACCACCGACCACGTTCGTTGGAGACTGGCCCACCAGATGAGGTCTGTTTAGAGTAGAATATGGTGTTGTAGTTTGATGTTATTTCTGGAACATAAACTCCAGAAGATAAAATGTTTTAAAAAAAGAGTGAAAATTCAGTGAATAAATGGAATTAGCTTTCAGTGGCTAATTCCAAACCGGGTCTGAGGAGTGCTGTGTTCAAACTTACTGATTTTTGAGTCCCTCCAAGAGGGTCCAACGCTGGTAGAGGCCGAAATATCATAGGGATGGAACGTTCAGTGTGTTACTCTGGGGAAAAACTCCTCGTTTTCCTAAATAAGTGGCAAATTTTGATTATTGCTGTGTCACTGTAAGATGAAAATATCTGAAAGGTTAATAGTATTTAGGACCATATGTATAAATAAATGTTAAAGTAGTGGAAGCAACAGTTCCTCCTAAGTTTGTTGACTTTAGAATGATTACTTTGAAAGCCGGAATATTCGAGAATGGAAACGGAGTTAGGTTGGAAGTGAATTCATGAAAAGCTACTTTGTGTTTGAACAGACAGCTCACAGAAGAGGAGAAAGCTGATGAGAAAGCAGATGGGGGTGTGTGGGAATTGACAGGGAGGCTGCTGGTTACAGGAAGGGGCAGCTCCATCCAGGCCCCGTTTTGCCACCAACTTAACTAGGACACTAGTGTCGAGTCAGCAGGGCTCTCAGTGACTTTGCGGGTGGTCACTGGGTGCCCTCCCACCAGGCTGATGAGAGTGACAGCTCGTGCCCCTTCTGGGGAGCAGTCCGGCAGTTGGATTCGAGAGCCTTGCCAGGTTCACGTCCTTCATTTGTGGTTCTGCTCCTGGGTTTCTAGGCAGAGGGAAGAGTCAAGCCCAAGTTTTGGTTTTTGTTTTTAAAATTAGCCCCTAAAAGGTACTCAGCTCCTCACTGTAGCATTTTTATGGAAGATCCACAGCAGACTGAGTGTCTGAGGCTAAGCTGGGATGTAGCTGCTGGGTGGACTCCTACGTAGCCATTAAAAGTGTTATAAGAATGTGCAGTAACAAAGAGAAAAATGTTAAATGCTGAACTTCAGAAGAAAAAACGAGCATATAGTGTGACTGTGGCCACACAGAAGGAGCCCAGAAGCACAGGAAATAATGCGCCAGACACCCGTGGGTGCTGCTCTCCAAGTCCTCTCTGACCACCAGCATGCTTCCTGCAGGAAGGGAAGTGAGCTCGGCCTGAGCCTGCGCTGCCGTAGGAGCAGCTGTGCCCGGCCCTGCCCACCCCTCTCCCCAGTTCCTCCTTTTCTTCTTTCTTTTTGTTTTTTAATAAATTAATTAATTTATTTTTATTTTTGGCCATGTTGGGTCTTTGTTGCTGCGTGCGGGCTTTCTCTAGTTGCGGCGAGCAGGGGCTACTCTGTTGTGGTGCGCAGGCTTCTCATTGCGGTGGCTTCTCTTGTTGCGGAGCATGGACTCTAGGCACGCAGGCTAGTTGCAGCACTTGGGCTCAGTAGTTGTGGTGCACGGGCTCAGTAGTTGTGGCACGCGGGCTCAGTAGTTGTGGCTTTCGGGCTCTAGAGCACAGGCTCAGTAGTTGTGGTGCACGGGCTTAGTTGCTCCACGGTGTGTGGGATCTTCCCAGACCAGGGCTCGAACCTGTGTCCCCTGCACTGGCAGGCGGATTCCTAACCACTGTGCCACCAGGGAAGTCCCGCCCCCTTTTCTTCTATTAAAGCTCCATTTGTCCATCCACTGACGACTCACTTCCTGTCAGTTTTCCTCCTCATACAGTGTCCTGAGTCAGTTCAGGGTTTTCTCCTGGTACTCTGGTATCTTTTTCATCCTTCTGGCACAATCACCTCCATGTGTTAATTTCTGAATCTAAAGTATAAAGAAAATTGGCCACTTCTCTTGGTCCTAAGGGAAGTGGCCGAATTCTTCCTGTTAATTCCGTTGAGGTGTGTGTTGTGGCTGGGCCAGAGGGGCCTGGCGAGGACCTGTGGGGTCTCCCGGGAGCGGGAGGGTCTTCCCAGGCAGCCCTGTGAAAGCGCAGCCTGGACCCCTTGGTGTTCACGTGCGTTCAGACGTTCACAGCAAGCAGCGGTGTTACCTTGCGGTTAGGAGTGCGGAGGGGCAGCGTCTGGTCCCCCCCGCGTCCCTGGTGCAGCCACCTCAGCTGGCGCGTTCTCATCTGGGCTGTGAGGGGTTGGGAAGAGTCAGATGTCCTCTGGGTCCAGAGTCTCATAGCTGTCTTCCCCAGCACTGTGGTGTTCAGGGTTAAATAAGGAAGTAACGTCATTCACCATGATGTTTGCGTGCCTGCATCAGTGTGATACGTTTTTGTGATGCTTTAGGGATTTTGCGCCGGGGGATGCAGCCTGAGGCAGGGCTTGTGGGAGCAGGTGTGTGTTGTAAGTCAGGGCAGGGGCTTGGGCGGGGACCGGCCTTATTGGGTGCCTTTGGGTCTGGGGCGAGCTGGGGTCTCTAATGTCCCCTAGCTCCGATGTCCCTGAGCGCCACCGAGCCTGGCTGCTCCCCACCTGGCGGCCCTGACCCTTGACCTGCACCTGGAGCGCATCCCGCCCCTTCGTAGGCAGGCCCATGGGCTCGGCGTGCAGAAAGTTTATATCCATTGATAACTACGCTAGTAAGTCCACGTTTATTTTGCTTTTATTTCTCAGCGATAAGTGACTGACAGCTTTAGCGCACCCTGAGGTGCCGGTGGCTCTCCTGCCTCGTGGGGTACCCATGTGGCCCTGTCACGGTGGGAGGTTCCTTGGCGGGGTTTTGAAGTGTCAGCAGTTGCTGGCAGGTCCCTCTCAGTCTCCTGTGAAATCTCCCAGAGGCCTGATTAGAGACAGTTCAGAGACGCCCGAGTCTGCGAGATCCTTCCCGGGCCTTGTCACCGAGGATGCTCGTGCCCTCGACTGTCTGTCGTTTATCTGTGAATCACCTGGGCCGCTCAGGTGTGTCCCGTTTCCGCTGGAAGAGGGGGCGGAGGGGTCCCCAGCTCCAGGTGTGTTCTGAGGATGGCGGTGCACGACGCGGAGAGTGTGGAGGGCGTGCTTCGTCCCTAACCACGCCCAGCGCTCGGTGACCGCGTGTGCCCGCCCCCGCTTTTCGTGGTGTTGCGCTGGTGTGTTTGCTGCGGGGCCGGCCGGTTCCTGGGCAGGCGTGCCCGCGCTCTGCGGGGCCGCGGGCACTGAGGTGTGTGCTCACCCCTGTGCTCTCTCCCAGGTGTGGAAGATCTCCCTGCAGGGGCCCTGCTACATGACTCTGCTCATGGTGGCCTTTGGCTTGCTCTGGGGCCACCTTCTGCAGATCAGACCCACCCAGAGCGTCTTTATCTCCACCTGCCTCTCCTTGTCGAGCACACCCCTGGTGTCCAAGTTCCTTGTGGGCAGCGCTCGCAGCGACAAGGAAGGTAGGTGGCCGCGCGTTCTGAGCGTGTGTCAAGGTTAACCGACTTGAGTCCACACGCTCTTAGTGACTTTTCCCCAAGCAGGCGACATCGACTACGGCGCGGTGCTGCTGGGGATGCTGGTGACGCAGGACGTGCAGCTGGGACTGTTCATGGCTGTCCTGCCCACGCTCATCCAGGCGGGAGCCGGCGCACACGCCAGGTAGGGTTGCTGCCGTACTTCAGTTCACGGTCTGTTTTTCTGGCTTCAGATCATTTGTTTATCGAAATACCGACCTTCCTTTCCTTCTCAAGTACAAGGTTTCTTCTGCTCTGTTTCCAGTTTCTGTTGGAGGGCTCTGGGCATTCTTTCATGGTTAGTCTGCTGCCGATGGCAGGTTCTCTCGGTTTCCTCATCTGAGTCTTATCTCCCTTCCCGCTGGAGGACGTGGCCACCGGGTGTTGGTCTGCAGCAGACGTTTCTTTCTTCCAGTGCCTGGCAGTGCTGTGCTGCTTCTCCCTGGCCTCCGACGGCTTCAGTGATAAACCGGCTGTCGTTCAGATCTGTGTTTCTCCACAAGTAACGCAAGGCTGCTCTCTGGCTGCTTTCAAGACTTTGCCTTTAGTTTTCAGAAATTGAATTACGCTGTCTTGGTGTCTTAGCTTGGGCTCTTCAGCAGACACCACAGATGCGGCAGCTTACACAGCAGACGTTTAGCCTCGGGGGCTGGGCGCCGGAGATTAGGGTGCTGGTGCCCTCTCAGGCAGCTGTCTTCTCCTGTGTCTCCACGGTAGGGGAGGTGGAGAGGCTGCAGAGCCCTCCGGTCTCTCTTATAGAGGCCATTAGTCCCAGCACCGGCCCCACCTCCAGATGACTCTGGGGGGACACACACCTCCGGCCCGTAATACCTTTGGGTTTGTTCTGTGTGGCGTTCGTTCATCTCCTCGAAGCTGTAGCTCTGTGTCTCTTGTCTATTCCTAGTTTAGGAATTTCGGCCATTGTTTCCTCAGGTGTTTTTTTTCAGTCCCGATTGCCCCCTCCTCGTGGGACCCCAGTGATGCGCACGTGGCTCTTCTGTTGTCCCACGGGGCTCTGAGACACTTCTTTTTCGGTCTGTTTTCTGCCTGTTGTTCAGACTGGGTAGATTCTGTCCGTTTGTCCTCACGTCCACTGGTCCCATCCTCTGTCATCTCTCTACTGTTCAGCCCATCCAGCAAGATTTTTGCTCGCGTTATTATACTGTTTAGTGGTATAATTTCCATTTGATTCTTCTTCTTATAACTTCTGTTTCTTGCTGAGATTTTCTATTTTTTCATTTGTTTCAAGAGAATTTTTTAAGTGCTATTGAATCATTTTTACGATGTGGCTGCTTTAAAATCTTTGTCAGATAACCCTAATGATGACGGGTCTTGATGTTGGAGTCTCATTCAGGTTGTAGTTTTCCTGATTCTTGGTGTGGTGAGTGATTTCCAGTCGTATCCTGGACATTTTATATCTGATAACATAAGTCTCTGGATCCTTTCATTATTTTTTAAAGCCAGCAGCCCCATGTTGAGGCGTGGTTGAGGGTGGGTGTGTGTTCATCTTCCTGCTGAGCCCCGTCCGGGGAGCGTGGACAGCCTGCCTCATTGCTGACCGGCGGAGTGGAAGCGTTTTGTATTTTTAGTATTTGCCTTTTGCCAGATATTGTAATAAGTTTCAGCAATCCAAAGTGATCAAGATCTCATCTCTGCTCTCAGGAAGCTCAGCCTGGCGGGGAAAGTAGAAGGAGGGAATGATTTTTAACTGAGATTCCCAGAGGTGAAGGCTCCGGCCCTGGTGTGTGGCCACCATGGAGCCCCAGCTCTCCATTTGCCAACCCTGCGGGCTGTGTTCTCACCTGTAGAATGGGAACAAGGTGGAACCTGGACAGTGTGCTGGCTGTCAACAGGAGAGACTCGTAAGGCACCTGACACGCCCCTCGTATGTGCAGCTGTTAAAGGCCGTTTGTCAGGAAGGCCCTTTGTCTGTCATTTTTCTTTGATCCAAAGGTCTTTAACTGTCAGAAAAGCGACCTTTGTTGCATTAGTCCTTCTGGCTACAGATTTTCAGGGTAAGTAACTGAAAAAACATTTAGACAGAAAAAGGATTTGTAACTTTAGCTGAAAGTCGTTTGAGTTCTGCTTGGGCTGTGCAGTAAGTCCTTCCCGGGAGAGGCGGGAACCCCCTTTCCCAGGCAGAATCCGAACCGCGGCCAAGAGTGTCCGGGCCCCCTGGGAACTACGGGTATCACCTGGGAACCAGGCCCCCTGCCAGGTAGACAGGTATGGCTCAGGCAGAAGACTTGGAAAGCTTTTCTTTTTATCTTCCTAATTTAAAATTTCATCCAGTACTGGTACTGGTCCTGTTGACGTAATTCCTGTTTTGTCATGAGAAGCCATGTTTACCGAGAATTTTAATGACGTGGAAAAGTGCCCTGCATTGTGTTAGGTTGTAAAAAAGAGTCAAGACCACATATAGTATTTCTCAGAAGGAGAAACATGGAGCTGCCACGTGACTCAGCTCTTCTGCTCCAGGGTGTGTACCCCACAGGAATGGGAACACCTGTCCACAGGTGTCACCTTTGGGGGGGCGAAGGCGGCACAGCCACGTGAATGCCCCTCATGCCATGAGTTACACACTAATGGGGAAGGTGGTAAATTTTATGTTACGAATATTTTACCACAATAAAAAAAACCTGTGCGTGAATGTTCATGGCAGCATTCGTCGTGATGGCTAAGACGTGGAAACAACTCAAATGTCCATTAGCTAACAGACAGGTGAATAAAACATACAGGGAAATGTCATTCAGCCATAAAAAGGAATGACGCGCTGACACACACTACGGCGCGGATGAGCCCTGAGCACAGACGCCAAAGCCCACACCGTGGTTCCCACAAACGATTCTGTTTATATGAAACGTCCAGAACAGGCAGGTCCACGGAGACAGCAGGCTGGTGGTGCTGGGGGCTGGGCTTGGGGAGTGAGTGTAAGGGGCGCAGGCTCTCTCGGGGATGAAATACATTCTGAGACTGTGGTGGTGGCACAACTCTGTGACTAGAAGCCGTTGAATTGTAGACTTCAAATGGGGGAATTGTGTGAAATGAGACATGTATCAAAAAAGCTGTTAAAATTACATACAATATTATTTTAACTGCATAAAGGAGAAAATGGGGGCTAGAAATGTGTATTAGAGTGTCCAGTAGAGGAGTAGATTATGGTGAGTTTACTGTTTACTTTATTTACTTTTCTGTATAATTTGGGAAAACCTCTTTTCCAATTTTGATAACCAGGGAAAATTTATAGTAAAAAATATTAAATAAAATCAATAGTAATGTTAATATAAGCTTTGCCTCTTAATTCAGCTTTATTCAGAACTCGTCTTGATCTTTCCTAAAGGAAAGAATTGTCTTCTTCCCTCCAAATGTTTCACAGGTAAAGGACAGAACACAGAGACTATGATAAAATTATAAAGTAATTCAAATTTTACTAGAATTAAAATCTTGCAAAACCATGAAAGTTCTAGAAGAAAGTATGGATGAATGTATTACCAAATATTGAAGATGTTCAAGCAGAACACAAATTCCAGAAGCCATAAAGGACAAGAAATGCGATCAGTGTCACTGAAGTTTCATACTTTGAATGTTTAAATACATGCACATGTCTGTGTACACACAAACACACATCCACCCACGCACACGCATGGATACACACAGGCCTGCACACATACATATACACACATACATGTGTGCACACACGTATGCGTGCACATACATGTACAGGAACACATTAGGTAAGCAGGCCAAAGACAAATGGGAAAGAGATGTGTGTACACGTTCTGTCTTACTGTTTAAAATCGAAGTATAGTTGATTTTAAGACAGGGTTAAGTTTCGCATTTCATGAAGATCTACAAATCAATGAGAAAAACGAGACTAACGCAGTTAACAGACAGGTGAGCGCTGAGAGCGGCTAACTCAGCAACAAGCGAGTGGGAGAGCACCCCGCCCCCTGCCCCCCACGGAAGGAAGTCTGGGGGCGCCTCTCCCTGTTGGGCAGGGCCGTCTGTCAAGGGTGGACGTGGACGGGCACGAGCTCCCCCACACGCCACCCCCAGTGTGGCTGAGCCTGGACGACCCATTCCCGGGTCCAGCCCAGGAGACGTGGCCCCGGCCCTCGGGTCACGGACGTCAGACCGCATCCCCACGTGTTGCTTTGGCCTCTGCAGCCCACTGAATGGGATGAGTCAGGGGTCACTGGGGTACAGGGGGAAGGGGTGCCCGGTGCCGGCCCTGAGGGTCCGGGTCGCGGGCGGTGGGTGAGGAGTTCGGCGTCAGCTGCCGGGCTCTGGGGGCCTGGCTGGGACTTCGCGCAGGTTTCTCTTCCTGCCGAGGCCACAGACCCCGCCTTCTCCCCTGGGCTGTCATCCTGAGCCTTAGCCATGGGTGTTCACAGAGGCTCTGCTGTGACGCCCTGAGGCATCACACACCCTGGGACGTGTCTGGGCTGCTGGTCTAGGCCTGGCTGCAGGGGCGAGTCCTCTCTTACCACCTGATTTATATTCTTCCATCAAGAGCTCTTAAACCAGAATTTTGGACTGAAGGGTTTCCTAAATGTGATGGGGAACTGGGGTTAAAAACTGTGTATGTTACCATGAACACGACAGATGCACAATAATGCCTATCTTGTGAAGGTCATTAGGTTGAGATCTTAACAATATATTGAGATCTGAGTAGCATATTCTAAAAAGGGCTTCGTGCAGAAGCCTTTTCTCCGTGACTAAGTAGCAGAAAATTCAGAGTTCTGGCTTGGGATAAGGGAAGGCTTTTCTGAAAGTCGCTGGCATCCCCCAGTCACGCTTTGGTGGGGAGCCTGCAGTGTCGTGTTACAGAGCGACTGTTGCCTTACAAAGAATTTCAAATGGGGGTTAATTCCTAGTGAGGACTTTTATCATCTGTCATCGATGGAGACACATAAGCTGTCAGTCACGAGTCATTACATCCTATAAAATGTACTTACTCCAAAGTATTAATTGCAATACAATTCAGCTTCTATATTCAAGTAACTTAATTTCTGAGGTTAATGTTTGATGGATTTTATTCTAACATTTAGAAATGAAAATGTCTGCGATTTGGGTCATTTATTTTGTGATGCTAAAAAGGAATGAAAGGTCATTTCGTTGGACTTGAGCGTATTCTGAGGAGAATTATGCGTCTCCCTCTCTTTCCCAGCGTCGCCATGGAGATCCTGCGGGTCCTGGGCCTGGTCGGGCAGGTCCTCTTCTCGCTTGCTGCGGTTCTCCTCTTCTGTCTTGTCGTGAGGACCTACCTCGTGGGACCGTACTGCCGGAGGCTGCACGCGGAGAGCAAGGGGAACAAGGAGGTCCTCATCCTGGGAATCTCCGCTTTCACCTTCCTCATGCTGACGGTAAGGCCCCAAATGCCCGCCGCTTACATCGCCTGACTCATCCTCTGTTCACCGAGAGCTTGTGATCGGTCCTTTCTCTTTCATTTTACTAACAGTTGGCATCCGTGAGACGCTTGTGGGTGTTTTATCCGCGCACAGTCGTGCTGCCTGGCGCTTCTACCCGCGCTCTAGGCTCTCTGCTGGGATGGTGTTTGTGAGTGTGCAACCGTGCGAGTGTGTCTTAGACGCTTTGCATCCGAAGTAAGAATCACAGTTTAAAACGACTTTTTGTTCTGTTTGATGAGAACAAGCTAGTGAGCAGCATAACTTCTTTCACTGTAACGTGAAAAGCTCACCATAGAGGCTTGTTTTGGAGGCGGCCGTCCCAGTTAAGGGACAGGCTTCTCATGGGAGAGCAGGGGAGGGGCTGGAGACCCCGTAAACAGTCCCAGCTCTGGGGGCATCACCTGCACGGAAGAGCTGCGCCCCTCGACGTGCGCCGGAGAAGTGAAGACCCGTGTTCACGTGGAAACTGACGTGTGAGCGTGACAACAGCTGTGCTCCCATCAGCCCAGACCGCCCAGATGGCCTTCCTCAGGCGCGTAGTTCAGCCAGCCACGGCCCTCCACGCCAGGGCAGCCACCCAGCTTTGAACCGTGGGTCTGTGAGTCGCCGGAGAGCTGTGCTGACTCGAAAAGCCGGTCCCCAAGGTCAGGCGCTGCGTCCCTCCACCTGCGTGCAGTTCGTGAAGACAGATCAGAGACGGGGGAAGGCCGCTGGCCGGGTGCTGAGGAGGGAGGTGGTGGGGAGGACCCCGGAGGTCACGGCGGCCCACGTGGCTCCACGGTGTCACATCCACGGGGCTCGTGCTGTGACTTGGGAAGATGCTGCCGTGGGGGAGCCCGGGGGAAGGTACCGGGGTCTCTGGATGACTTCGTAGAACTGCACATGAGCCTACAGTAAGGTCAAGAGAAAAGTTTAATCCTATAAAGGACACTGAGGAAAAGAACTTCCTTACACAGTTGCGTTGCCTGCTAGTGTCTCGTAATCTTGGGAGAAGACTGAGGTTTGCTTTTGCTCAGAGCCGTTCACGTATGTGACCGACTTCGGTTTTGTGCGTTGTTCCATCCCATCTGGAGTGTCCTCTCTGGAATGACACCCAGCAGAGCGCTCTGACCCGGCGCTCCGTGCTGCCACCTAGCGGCACTTGAGCCGAAGCAGCCTCGCTCTGCGGCCCGTGTGTCCCGAGCGCCTGCGCGGGTTCCGGGCGCCGGGGGAGGCATCTAGCGTCCGAGGCCGCCGCTCGCTCGCGCCGTCTGTGCTTAGACGTTCCGGGCCGTGGGAGTGAGGCTGGACGTGCGGGTCTAGGCCCGGGCCGTGTGGGCCTGCGTGACCGCAGCTGGTTTCCCCAGGTGGCCGTGCCCTTCTCCCCGCCCAGCACGTTTCAGAGGCTGACCCCAAGCTGTAGCCCGTGCCAGTGCTTCATTCCTTCCCACGGCTGAATGGTATTCCTTGTCAGATACAGTTTTGCTAATATCTTGTAGTTTGTGACTTGCCTTTCACTCTCTTGACGACGTGTTTTTGAACGGAAGTTCCTAATTGTAGCGTGGTGCTGTGATCGTTCTTTAAGGGCAGCACTTCAGGGTCCTGCGTGACGCGTGTTTTCCGGCTCCAGGTCACGGAGATGCTGTGTGTTGTCCTCTGGAAACGCACTGCTTTCTTTTCTCACTGAGACCTGCCATCCACGGGAGGCGAGTTAGCGCGGGGTGGATGGCCGTGGTCAGGACCTGTTCTCCACGAGCGTCTCCTCACCCCCGTGAAGTCGAAGTCGAAGGTCACAGCACAGAAGCCGCGTGGCCGAGCATGGGTGGCCCAGACGCCCTGCTGTCCCCAGGTGGGCGGGCGGCCAGCCCGGCCCCCTCTCTGCAGGCTGTCTGGTCGTGGTCTTCTGGGTCACGGGGATGGGTTCAGCTGGTCGGCTTCCAGGCACAGGGAGTTCTGTGACTGCTCCCGTAACGCTAGGCGCCCTTGGTTCCCCGCGTCCGTGTCCGCGCTGCCCGGTGTGTGTCATGTGTGCGGCGGCAGCGAGCGCTGTGTCGGATCCGCTCCCAGGCATCTGATGGGCTCTGACACGGTCGTCAGCAGGGCTTCCTGGAACATCGTCCATCTGTCTTTGCTGCTCTCGTCACTGGATTTACCTCCCCGAGTTAAACACCGTGTCCGCTTTCTTCCTCTAGGCGCTGGCCAGGGTGGGGGGGGGGGAATACTTTTGTGTGCCACGTGTTTAATGCCAGGGGAGTTGGGCTGTTTATTGATTCAGGGTAAAGAAAGTTGTCACAAATTCTTAGATCTTGGGAAATAGTCCCACTCGAAATGTCTGCAGCAGTCTACACAAACGATGGTTGCAACTGTTGTATGACCGTTTCCTCTCGCTCGTGGTCAGTGAGCTGACGTCCCCTGCTGTGCCTTCTGCGGGGTTCTCCTGGGACGCCGCAGGGGCCTGGGCGGGGGCAGGGAAGCTGGCTTGTCGCAGTTTTATGGGGACATCCCGCTGCGTCCGAGAGGCCCTCTCGTGTGTCCTCAGCAGAGTCACTGGCGGGTGCACCTGGCGTGACCTGTGTCCTCCTCCCCTCAGGTCACCGAGCTCCTGGACGTGTCTATGGAGCTGGGCTGCTTCCTGGCCGGAGCCCTGGTGTCCTCCCAGGGCCACGTGGTCGCTGAGGAGGTCGTGTCCTGCGTGGAGCCCGTCCGTGACTTCCTGGCCATCGTGTTCTTCGCGTCCATAGGTGACCCTCCTCCTCCAGGGGTGACACTCCCACTGGGTCTCATCTGCTCACACGTGTTTCTACTTAGCTTGTGCCGCGAAAACAGTCCCCATGGCGACTAGGGTCTGAGGGACTCTACCTTAGAAGGAGGGAAGGTTTGAGCTGAGGGACGGGGGCTCCTGACTGGTGGTCCTGAGGGTCCACCGCTCAGCAGGGTGGCAGGCCCACTTCAGCACGTCCATATCAAGTGCAGGAAGAAATTCTAATTTTAATACAAAAAATCAAACTAGCATGTCGAGGCTGCTGCCCTGGGAATGTCCCCGTGGAGGGGGGCGGTCCCACTCGCGGTCACAGCACGGCCATCTGGCCTCTCGCTCACACCCTGCACCGCTCGGTGGGTCCAAGAGCCCCAGAGACTCTGGGTGCCTCGAGAGGCAGGTTCTGAAGCCCGTGGAAACAGGGCGGGGAGCACCGAGTCACCCGGCCCTCTGCTCAGGGTCTCGGGGTGGAGTGGGTGGGAGACACCCTGCCCCTTCCCGTCCTGGCGGAGGAGCCTGTGGATGTAGGGGCGGCAGGGAGGCCGGCCGCCCAGCCCAGACGATCGCCGGTGCCTGTCCCCCAGGCCTTCACGTGTTCCCCACCTTCGTGCTGCGCGAGCTCGCCGTGCTGCTGGCCCTCACGCTCTCGGTGGTGGCCATGAAGGTAGGGCCCCCGCTTGCGAGTCCGCCCTGCCTTGGCTTTCCCCTGTCACACCACGTGCCCCGCTTCCTGCCTGTGTGTGCCCCCCGCCCAGCGCAGCCCGGCAGCTGGGGCGTCTTGGATCGGGATGGCCCTTCGGCTCAGTTTGTGTTGAAAACGGGGGTTTCAGAAGCTGGGACTGGAGAAACCGCTCTCTGGATCCTCCAGTGACACCCTTGCTCTGTAATTTGACTTCTAAGTGAGTCTAAAGAACCGTAAACCCGGCTCTGGTGACGCAAACGTACATTTTAACGGCCACTGAGAACTATTTCGCCACTTTCCTCTTGTCTGATCTCTGTGACTACAGATTGTTGAGGTGCCCGTGTCAGCGTGGGATTCTGGGAGTGGGCGTGGCCCGGGTAGTGGCCGCTGGCTTTGCGGATGAGAAGGGGCGGTGCCCCGATGGCGGCTGAACTGCACTGCCCGCCGCAGGCTGCTTTCCTCCGCTTTCTTTACGTTGCGTTGAAAACAAAGTTTCCATTCTGAAGGCTGCACGATACTCGTTTGGCGGGAGGGCCTTGGTTTTCCCCGGGGTGTCTCCGTGCGTCCTCCCATGCGGTGCTGGGGCGGCCTCCCCCCTCCCCGGACCCGCCCTGCTTCCTGCGGGCGGTGCTTCGGGCCCGGCCTGGCAGAGCGTGACCTGCCGCTCTGCCAGTTCGCCCTGGCAGCCCTGGTCCTGTCTCTGCTGCTGCCCAAGACCAGCCAGTACGTCAAGTGGATCGTGGCCGCGGGGCTGGCCCAGGTCAGCGAGTTCTCTCTGGTCCTGGGGAGCCGGGCGCGCAGAGCACGTATCATCTCTCGGGAGGTGAGTCTCTGCCCGGCTGGCGGAGCGGGGTTGTTAGGGGGAGTAGGGCTGGGGTGGGGGGGGGGCGCCCCCGTCCCCAGGGCCTCTTGGGGAAGGGGGCGCCCTCATCCAGGCCGGGCACCAGAGGCTCGCACGCCGTGATGCGGAGACACGCCCCCAGCCGCGCTGACGCCCCGCCCCCGGCAGGTGTACCTCCTCATCCTGAGCGTGACCACGCTCAGCCTCCTCCTGGCCCCGCTGCTTTGGCGAGCGGCCGTCGCCAGGTGTGCGCCGCGGCCCGAGAGAAGGTCTAGCCTCTGAGGACCGCGGCCAGGCGACCGGCCGGAGCTGGCACCGCGTTCCCGGACCTCAGAGTCTCCCGGAGCCCGCCTCTGCACGCAGTGATTATGCACCGTGTACATGTAACTCTGCGTTTTACAAATCGCCTTGACTCCTTTGCCTGGATGTGCCTTTTCTTCAGAAATTAATGTCAACTTTCTATTGTTATTTCATCAGTTCATGTTTTTTTGGTAAGGAAAAAAACTAGGAGGCTTTTTTATTTATTGTACAACTTGTAAACCATTGGTCGATGTTTGTTATTAAACGTTTCTGTGACGTGAGCTTTTAATTCTCACAATGTGTTTGGAAAGTTACTTTTAATCCTTAAAGTCTATGTTTTCTAAAATGAGACAAGTTCTTCTAAATGTCTTTTGCTTTTTATTACAATTTTAAACAATACTTTCATGTCAGTTTTTATCAGGTAAATCATTCTTTTAAAATATTTGGTTTTGAATCACAAGACTATGCATTCCTTAATAAAAATCATTTATGATCAGTATAATTAATTGAAATTTATTGAAAACCTGTCTTTTTAATTAGATTTTTATGTTGAACTAATCTTTGTCAGATTTTAAAATTAAGATGCAAAAAAAAGGTGGGCGGGAGCTTCCCTGGCGGTCCAGTGGTTAAGACTCCATGCTTCCCCTGCAGGGGGTGGAGGTTCGATTCCTGGTCAGGGAACTAAGATCCCGCTTGCAGCATGGTGTGGCCAAAAAAAACAAAAGAAAAACAAAATTAAGGTGTGTCACCTATTACCTCACTTTTGTAGAGACTAAATGAATGCAGAGCTGCTTGTACAGGCTGAGTTCTGACTTTGAATTCGAAAAGTGTGTTGGTGATTATGTGCACTTTTTTTTTTTTTACTTTTGATGATTTTTTTTTTCATTCCATATATTATCCAGTCTCACATGCTCACAGTGGGGTCAGCAATTACAACAGCCTCCTTGTCTCCCAGCTCTGACAAGACAGAGCGGCAAGACAGCCACAGCTGCGGCCAAAGTGTGCCCCATTTTAGAAAACCACACAGCTGAAGGTCTGATCCTTACACACATTTCCCTAAGGGGTACCTAAGTTGAGTTTTCCTATAAATACTGCCTTTAAGAGCCCAATGATTTGTCCAGAACACTTGGTGTAGAGGGACAGAGATGTTAGGTGTGATTACGGATCGCAGATGTAAATTATGGGTTGCAGTAATACTAACTAAAACACATTAAGGTGAAGTAAATTGTATCTAGTCTGAAGTAAATCAATGGAGAAATGATGTAAATGTGCTTATTTTTAGAAACTAGCATTGGTTCTATTCATTTTTAAATCATTCCACACGGCGCCATTCCCTCGGGATCCTTGGGCGGAGTGGGAGGCGTTAGCTGAGGCACCAAGGCCCTCCTGCCTTGCCTGTAACCCTGCACCGTGTCTGTCCGTGTGCCTCTCCCTCCGGTGTTGTTCTGTTTTCTCTTATATCTCCAGGACCCACAGCAGAGCTGGGACCTCTTAAATTTTGTTGAATGAAACCTATCTGATGTGCTGACATAAAGTTTTCCCTGAAATGTGGAACTAATACCACTCTGTGAGACTGAAGTAATTAATAAAGATGCACACTTCGTGACAAGAGGAAATGCTGTTAGAAAAGCCCTGCTCCTTGGAGAGGTCTAGACCATCAGGACTCCCCAGAGCCATGGGGGCTTACCCCACCAGGCCCACTCTGCTGCAGCCCCGGGATTGGCCTCGCCACCTTTTACTCACCGGTGTCTTCACCCTCACCTCTCTTGGTCCTTATCATCTGTAAACTTGCTCCAGTCTGCCCCCATGGTGAACTCACAGAGCCCTCTCTCAACCCCTGTCCTCTCTCTCCCCTCACTGTGCAGACTCGCAGAAGGCTCAGAGCCCTTCTAACCCCCGCACCTGGGGCTGCAGACCACCTACCTCCCAGATACCAGCATTGACCCATCACCATTTCCTCTGGGCCTGTGTGTGTGGCCCAGCAGAAACTCTTCAGGCCAGAAGGAAGTGGCATGATATATTTAAAGTGATGAAAGGAAAAAACGTACAACTCAGAATACTCTACTTAGTAAGGCTGTTATTCAGATTTGAAGGAGAAATGAAGTTTTGCAGATAATCAAGACATTCTCCAATTTAGATCACATGCTAGGCCACAAAACAAGTCTGC